AATACAAATTCAAAATAGAAAGCAAAGATTATAACAGCGGGGCCGGGAGACATGACTGATGACAAGAAAAGGTTATTTTAGAGCCAGAGGGGAATAGTCAACATTGTTTATTCTGGACTTATATGAAATTGTCATATTTTTAGTTTTCGGTGAATTGGCCAAATTGGCACATTTCTGACACATTATTAAGGTAGTAGAAATCGGTAAATGGCCGTTCTTGGATCACTCGATAGAAAAAATGGAGTCTAAAGAAAATAGCTATGATTTGGCAGACTGAACAATGGAATTAGCCGAAAATAGGCTCAAAGTGGGCGAAATAGCCGTTTGTAAACAGTGCCCAGGTCGCTAATTTCCCGAAGCATAATTCCCGTCATTTCCTATCAAATTTTTTTTTTTTGGGTGTCATTACAATCGGGAAAGATTCTCTATCATTTCTACAAAAAAATTATTTTTTTTTAAATTTTGGTCCGATTTTAAGGGGCCCCCCCCCTGCCCCCCTCCCCCCTCCATCCCCTACTAAAACTCCAAAAATTTTTTTTTTCCCACCATTTTTTTTCCCCTTTTTTTAAAAAATTTTTTTTTTTCCGGTTTCAAAAAAAAAAATTTTCTTAGGGGGGCCAAATTTAAACGCCCCCCAAAAAATTAAAAAAAAAGGGGGCCACGAAGTTTTTTCCTTTTTCTTTCCTTTAGGAAAAAAACAAAAAAAATTTGGGGGATTGTTTTCAAAAACCGTCAAAAAAGGGGGAAATTTTTTTTTTTTTCCCAATTTTAAAAGTCAAAATTCCATTGCCAAAAAAAAGTCCGCTTTAAAATTTGCGTCTTTTTTTTTAACTTTTAACATTTTTTTAAAATTTTTTCTTTTTTTTTTTTAAAAACCCCTCCCGGGGGGCCTCATTCCAAAAATTGATTTTCCAGGATCCCCCGTTTTTCGGACCTTTTTGGTTTTTTTTTTTTCCCCCGTTTCCAAAATTAAAAATTTTCGCCCTTTTTTTAAATTGGGTTTTTGTCCCCAAAAAAAGGGGGTTCAAAAAGTTTGGGGTTTGGGCAACGGAAAAAAAAACCCCCCCCAAAAAAAAAATGGGCAAATCCCCCGATTTAAAACACCCCCCCCCCCGGGGCTTTTCCGCCCTTTTTTTTTTTTTTTTTTTTGGGTTTTAAATCAAAAAACTCCACTTTTTTTTTTTTTTGCCCCAAAAACCCCTCGGTTGGGGTCGCCCCCAAGGGGGTTTTTTTTTTTTTTATTTTTCCAAAAGATTTTTTCAAGGTGTTTGTTTTTAAAATTGGGGTTTTTGGCCCCCCGAAAAAGCACGCAAAAACAAAAGGGGGAAAAAAAAACCCCCCTTCAAATCTCCTTTTTTAAATTCATCCAAAAAGGGAACCCAATGTTTTTAAAAATTTTTTTTTTCCCCCCCCCCTTTTTTTCACTTTGGGGGCCCCCCCCAAAAAAAAAAAAAAAAAGGGACCCTAAAAATTTTCCAAAAAAAAAAGGGGGCCCAACCCTTCCAAATTTTTTCAGGGCCCCCAAAAAATTTTTAAAAAAAATTTTTTTAAAAAATTTTTTTTTTCAACAACCCCCCCCCCCAGGGGCCCGAAAAAAAACCCCAAAAAAAAATCTTTATCATTTAAACCCTTTCCCCCACCTAACCCTCACCCAAATTCCCCAAATCAACAAAACCTAATTGTCCAAAATTCCCCCAAATGCCTACCCAAACCCCTTTTTTAAACAGGTTTTTACCCCTTTCCCTAATCCCTTACAAAAAAACCTTTTTCCAAACCCCAAAAAAATTCCCGGCCCCCCCAACGTTCCCCATCCCCCCCCCCTTTCTTTCCCTTTCACCCCTTTCACCCCCGCCCTTCGGGGTCCAACCCCCCCAAAAACCTCCCCCCCCCTCTTTCCCCTTTTAAAGCCCCCCCTCTTTTTTCCTTGTTTATTTCTTCTTTCTATTTTTAAATTCTCTCTAAAGACCAAACCCTCAAAAACCTTCCTTCCCCCCAAATTTTTTAAACCCCCACCTTTTCCAAATTTCCACCCCCAAATTTTTGCATAATATTTAAAAACCCCCCTTTAAACCACCCCCTCCCCCTTTCTTGGTGCATTTCCCCCGCTTCACCCCCTTTTTAAAGAGGTTAGTACTACATATTTATACTTTCCCCTTTTTTTCCCCAAAAAATTTTTTCCCATACCCCAAACGCCACCCCTTTTTTCCCCTATTTTTAAAAAAACCTCACCTTCATAAACCATCCCCCGACACGTAAACCCCAAGTATAAAAAACATTCACTTTTCCCATATCCCCTCCCTAATTTGATATCCTTTTTTCCTTTATCTAAATCTTTTATCCCTCACACCTTACCTTTTTATGTTCATTTCAATTTCCCCTTTACACACTTTCCCCAAACTCATCCACAAACCCTTTGTAATTTTTTTTAGAATCTCCCATAAGCACGTATATCGTAAAAAGTAAGGTGAAATTTCCCTTTTTGAATTTTTTCCCCAAAAATTTAAACCCCACCCCCCTGAACATTTTTTCCTGTACAACCCCCTAAAAATATTTTAAAAACCATGGTGACATTCCCAATCCCTGTCAAAGACCTATTTTACCGGGAAATTTTCCCCTTTTTCCCCCCAACCTAGGCCCCCCAAAAAAAATTTTAAATTTTTAATTAAATTTTAAAATATTTTTAACTTGAACTCGCCCATTGCCCCTTTTTCCACTTATCATATGCCTTTTTCTAATCCATAAAAGCAATAAAACTTCCCCACCCTTTTTCTAAAAATTTTTTACATATTGTTCAAAGTAAACATTGTTACAATCCCCTACCCACTCTGTAACCTCCTTTCTCAACGCTCCTACTACTGTTTACCTTAAATTTTTTCAATTTTTAACCCCCACCGACCTTTTTCCTGGTATACTCATAAACTTATTCCCCTAAATTTTTTTTCGTCTCTTTTGTCCCTTTTCCCCTTTTTATAAAAGGTGGGAAAGGAAATAGAAAAAGAGTGGGAGGAAAAGAGGGTGAGCAAAAGGAAAAGGGGATGGTGGGAGGGAAAGAGGTGAGAGGGGGGGGAAAGAGGATGAAAGGAGGGAAAAAGGGGTGGGTAGAGAGGGTGAGTGAAGGAGGGGGGAAGATGGGGGGTAAAAGGGCATGGGGGGGGAAAGAGGAGCTGAAAGGGAAAAAAGGCAGAAAAATGTGCGTCTTTTTTTTTTTTTTCAATTAAACATAAATGGCTATGTCGTAATGTGACTACTTTCTAAAGTGCATAATGGAATAAAAAGTTGAAATGAAATGGGGGAAAAAGTGGGCAGGGAGAGGAGAGGAGAAGGAAAGAGGAGAGAGAGAGAAGAGGAGAGGAAGAGAGAGAGAGGAGAGAGAGGAGAGAGAAAAGGGGGAGAGAGGAGGAAAGAGAAGAGAGGAAAAGAGAGAGGAGAGAGAGAAAGGAGAGAGAGAGAGAAAGAGGGGGAGAAAGAAGAAAAAGAGAAAAAGAGAAGAGGGAGAAAAGAAAGAGAAAGGAGAAGAGAAAGAGGAGAGAAAAGGGGGAGAAAAGAGAGAAAAAAGAGAGAGAGGAAAAAGAGAAAGAGAGAAAAAAAGAAGGGAGAGAAAGAAAAAGGAAAAAAGGGGGAAAGAGAGGAAAAAGAGGAGAAAAAAGAGAAGAAAGAAGGGGAGAGAAAGGGAAAGGGAGAGAAAAAGGGGGAAAAATAGGGAAAATAAAGAGAGAGGAGAAAAGAAAGGGGAGAGAAAAAGGGAAAAAAGAGAGAGGAAAGACCGGGGGGGAAGGAAAAAAAAAAAAAAAAAAAAAAAGGGGGGGGGGGGGGGGGGGGGGGGGGGGGGTTTTTAAAAAAAAAAAAAAAAAAAAAAAAAAAAAAAAAAAAAAAAAAAAAAAAAAAAAAAAAAAAAAAAAAAAAAAAAAAAAAAAAAAAAAAAAAAAAAAGGGGGGGGGGGGGGGGGGGGAAAAAAAAAAAAAAAAGGGGGGGGGGGGGAGGAAAGGAAAGAGGGGGTGAAAGGAAAAAAAAAAGGGGGGGGGGAAAAAAAAAAAAAAGGGGGAAATTTCTTTCAATAAATAATCCTTAACCCCCCAAACGGCAAAGAAATCGTTTTTTTAACAAAAAAGTATCAAAAAAAGTAAACTTTTTTTTGTTTTTTTTACATTGAAAAGTTAAAAAAACTTTATTACTTTTTTTTTTTTATATTTGAAAAATTTTTAAAAAAAAAAAAAAGTAAACACTTTTTTAGCTACCATTTAACGTAGATCGCTTGGGCCCTTTACGGGTTTAACCTTTCAAACCCTGTTAAAAAAAAAAAAACAAGGAAGAAGAGAAAAGAGAAAGAGGGGAAGAGAGAGAGAGTAGGAGGGAGAGTAGTAAAAAGAAGGGGGGGAGGATGGGAGGAAAGGAGAGTGGGGGGAAAGGGGGAAAGAAATGGTAGAGAGTAGGGAGAGGGTATGTAGTGGGAGAGGGAAAATAGTGAGGAGGAAAAAAGAACCTGGAGAGGGTTTTTAGGGGGCTCACCCCCCCCTGGGCCCGGTATGGAAAAAAAGGGAAACGAGAGAAAAGTGGTTTGGGGAGAGGATGAAGAGGCTCTGGAGGAGAAACACAATGATGACAGAAGAAATAACAAATTAGTATTAAAAGGAAAAAAAATGCAAAATAAATTTCCTTTTTTTTTTTTTACCTCCTTGTGCACCTTTTTTCGAGAATTTTTATCTTCAGTTCGATTTCAAAATATCCAAAAAGGGAATAAAAGCTTTCCATATCAATTTTAAATTTTAATTTTAAAAAAGCCCCGTTCGGCATTTTAATTAAAAGAGTACTGGCTCGATTTTAAGAATTAATTCCAAACCAAAAAAAAAAAATATATTAACCAATACGTGGTTCCATGAGGTAAAAAATATTTATCTCTTTCCCAAAAAAAAATTGTATCCAAAACTTATTCTTTGGGGTAAATTGTAACTCAAGGGATCACGTATACGAGTTAGTATTTTTAAATTCCTGTTACGACTTACTTTTTCCAAGAATTTTTGAGATTTTCAAGCCATAAGTCATCTACAGTCTTTTTTTAGTAAATCCTCTTGATTTTTTTTTCTCGCCCCTTTTTTAAAAGCTCATCTTTCTTTTCTTTCGTCAAATTCCACATAGCCAATCCCAACAAATAATCATAGTCAGGGCCCTTACTGTCTTCTTCCTTATCAGAGTCTTCATCTTTGTCTTCCTCTTCCTCTTCCTGATAATAGAAAATATAAATTAATTATTGCTTCTTTAAGTTCATCAGCTATAAAACAATCTCCATTGCTATTCATTAAGGTCAATAATGTGATCTGAGAGAGCATTTGCAAATATTTTGTTAAATGATGAAGAAAGGGAGTCAGTGATTTCATGCATCACCCATGGAGGGATAACATCCTTTAGGAGTGAGGAAGACCCAGAAGCGAGAGTGGAGGAGGTGCACGAGGCAGTGGGTAAAATGAAAGTTGGTACAGCAACTGAAACTGATGGGATCATGATAGAAATATTATAAGCAGATGGGGATATAATTTTTGGAGTGATTGGTACTTTTGTTCAATAAATGTATGAAAGAGGAGAAGGGACTCAATGATTGGTAGAGAAAAAGGACAAGGGAATAAAAGTTTAAAAATTATAGGGAAATAAGCATGATAAGTACACCAGTAAAGTGAATGGCAGTTATAATTAAAAAAATAAAGGGTAAGATGGAGAGCAGGATTGCAGTGAACAATATTTAGATAAAGGTAAGAAGTCTTTGTTGCTTTCATGGATTTAGAAAAGGCATATAAAAAGACTGACAGACAGATGCTGCAAGTGTATAGGATAGGTGGTAGGTTACTGAATGCTGTTAAAAGTTTTAATGAGGATAGCAAGGTTCAGGTTAGGGTATGCAGAAGAGAATATTTTCCAGTATAAGAACACCTTAGACAGGGATACATGATGTCACCATGGCTGTTTAACATACTTATAGGCAGCAATGTTAAAGAGGTCATAGTTGCTTTTTTGCTGCTGATGAAAGTGTTTCTATTTCAGGTTACCTTGCCTCAATGGGGAGATGGCCAATGTAAAAAAAAAAAAAAAGGGGGGGGGGGGGGTTGAAAGATGTCTGAATATTTAAAACCTTGTATGATGCTAAAATTATCTCATTTGAAATTTTTAAGTATAACTTCTGAATCTGCATAGGAAATAGTATGCCTGGTGTGATTTTAATGAATTTTGAAAATCCGGCTGAAAATAGTGAAAAATGTTCAGGGATTTTTGGGGGCGAAAAGACTTTTTCTCTCAAAATTAAAAACGGTCATGATGACACTGTTGGATCAATTTCTCCCCACAAACATGAAAAAATCCTGTATATACAGCTTTCATAGATGGTTATATGACTGTTATAAGATAAATGTGCTGTAAAAGGCACCTCAGACTGTATCATGCTAAAACTGTCTCTTTTTATGTTTTTAAGTGCATATTCTTAGCATCAAAAGTAGTTCAAATGGAGTGATTTTTGGGGTAATGTTTATTCATTTTTCATAATTTATGGTTATTTTTCCAAATTCTTTAATATTTCTCATAATTTTTAGTTATTTCTTGTTATTTTGATGAAGGGAATAAGGTGACTGGTGCATTGAGGTATATGTGGAGACAAAAAAAACATTATCCATGGAGCAACTGTGACTTGCCATTTATGACTTAAAAAGTGATCTAAGACAGATCAAACATTTGTCTGAAATATCCATTCCACTGTGAATTATTCAGAAACATTTTCATGCTGAAACTTACCAGAGCAGCCTCCCGATCTTGGGCTTTCTTCCATGCTTTCACAGGATCTGAGTCATAGCCCTTCCGCTGTAGTTCTGCAATCATGTCTTTTTTCTTTTTGTTTTCTATAACCAGGCGACCATCACACTTTTCCAAAATAAATCTTGCCTAAGTTAAGGAAAAAACTAATTAATAATTTTCATTTTTTTTAAGTATTCAAGGAAACAGGTTATGGTTATAGAGTAAAAAAAAATTACCAGCATCTTAGAAAATGATGAATGATGTCTCTGTGGTTGTCTAGTTTGCTTAGGAATAGGTTTAAGTTCAAGCTAATCCTATACAATAATTTAAAAATGTCATCTATCTTTGTTTCATTTGAGTGTATAATTTCCAATCATACCCTGTTATTATTAAATCCCTGGTAAAGGTTTCATTCTTGCCTACCCTGCTCTTGCCCCGGATTATTTGCACATTGTGATCATATCCCTCATTTCTTGTTTTTCATTATTCAAGTGACAAAGACTAGTTTTCACATTCTTTCCTTGTAGATCAAATAGCTCAACTCTCTCACTAGTCTTAATGAATTCCTCTGTACTGGAGTTTCTATTTGTAATTACATATTTGATATTGTCAGGAAGGGGAACTCTAGCTCTCAGTCCCACCTCTTAATCTTCATCTGAATATAATGAATTAGCTATCATATTCATCTCTTTCCCTAGGTAGTAGGTTGGTAGACAGCAACCGCCCAGGGAGGTACTACCGTACTGCCAAGCGAGTGTAAAACGAAAGCCTGTAATTGTTTTACATGATGGTAGGATTGCTGGTGTCTTTTTTCTGCAACTATAATGCCGGGAGCAAGTAGCTAGCTGGTCTAGTGGCTAACGCGACGGGCTGGAGTTTTGAGACTCTCTGACCGCGGGTTCAATCCCAGCCGGGGTATGGTAAGTAGCTAGTAATCCCTTCTCCTGTATATATTACTAAAGTTATGAAGAGAAACTCGGTTTTCTTTTGGGACCACCCTGCCTCAGTGGGATACAGCTGGTGTAATGAAAGATCCATTTCTTTATGCTTTTATGCTGTTTCTGGCTACCTCTAAGTTTCATCAGTGTAATTTAAAGCTATGCTCGGAAAGGGTCAGTCCTTTTTTATTTATTGTATCTCTTGTTATACTTAGAAAGAATTATACACCACTACTGCGTAATCAATAATTGCATATGAGGTATATTACAGTTTTGAATGAATCTAAGTAACTAATTGCTTATCTTGTTTGCAAGCTTAGTCCCTGCTGCTGTTATACTACTAATGTGCACTTATGGGGAAAGGTTTGGGAACAAGTCTTTTTTTCTTGAATTATTTCCAAGTTTTTCCTTTTTATTCTCCTTCAATTGATACTTTATCTACGGTCTATTTTCTTTATTCTCCTCCCAGATTCATAACTTGAATTTTGCTCTGGTTAAAGTCCAGTAGCTATTCCATGACTTCATTCTGTCATTCTTCCTGCTGCCACTTTTCAATCTCTTTATTTTGTACTCTAATTTTGGTATTGTCTGTAAATAAGGTTATGTTTAAGTTGACCCATGCCATCAAGTCCTTATATAAACCAGAAAAACCATAAAGGCCCAACACTATATGCTTATAGTGCTCCAAGAGTTAAAATATCCCATTCTGATGCTTCAATTTCATGACTAAAACCACTTAGCCACAATTAAGGTCCCTATCCATTCTACTGTTTATTCACTGACAACCATCCATTACAACTTATCTTGTGTTGATGAACTAGACATACCATAAAAACTTCTGAAGCTGGAGGATGAGACAGTAGGTTCACAGCTGATGCCACTCACATAACTACAGTATGTCAAAGCAGTGCTGACTGTAAAATTATCCTGCTTTAAGCTCTGTCATTGAGTGGTTACAGCGCTGAGCCTGCTACATGCTTGAACTCTGATTCGAGTCCCCATCCATTCCTGTTTATCTTCAGATTAAGGTAATATTTATAAAGGAATTCAAACTGGTTACTTATACTGAACCGAGTTTGAGTGGTGGAATGTATAGTGCCTACGCTTCGAAGGATGGATGGAAGATGTAAACTGATGGATGATGAATTGAGTTGTCTGTGCATCTCTTCAAAAAACAGCTAGTGAATGAATTTTCCTTCTTTGGGTCATCTACCATGGTGATGCTTTCAAAGCAACACTACAATGTATTTTAATTCCATAGATTTTCAGAAAGACCAAGCTTTTTCAGAACAAAAGGCCAATTTAACTTTTTCCTGGTATTCAGCAAAAGTCATAGTGAATAGATAGTGAAAAGATAGGAGTGAATGGAGACAAATGATACTTGGGACCTGACGATCTGTTGGAGTGTGAGCAGGGTAATATTTAGTGAAGGGATTCAGGGAAACCGGTTATTTTCGTATAGTCGGACTTGAGTCCTGGAAATGGGAAGTACAATGCCTGCACTTTAAAGGAGGGGTTTGGGATATTGGCAGTTTGGAGGGATATGTTGTGTATCTTTATATGTGTATGCTTCTAGACTGTTGTATTCTGAGCACCTCTGCAAAAACAGTGATAATGTGCGAGTGTGGTGAAAGTGTTGAATGATGATGAAAGTATTTTCTTTTTGGGGATTTTCTTTCTTTTTTGGGTCACCCTGCCTCGGTGGGAGACGGCCGACTTGTTAAAAAAAAAAAAAAAAAAAAAAAAAAAAAAATGATGTACTGGTAATAAAGGAGTAATAATACCAATTAACCACTGAAGATCAACTCTAGCAATTTGATCAACAAAGGAAAAAATATACACAATTTAGTTTTTATCCAAAGAACTTCAATTATTGCTACTAAAAATCCAATCAATCAATTTAATTAAAAATGAAGAAATTAAATGAAGTACTGCACAATTCACTCACCTGGTTTGATAATTTACAAGCTTCAGCTTCAAGCATACCCAAAAGGTAAGCCTTCCGTTTAACATAATATCTGAGACGCAACTCAAAGAATTCCTGCAATATCTGTTCAACATTTTCATACTTTCGCAAGACACCATTGTGATCAAAGAGTACCTGAAACAAAAACAAAAACTGATTTGTAGAATATATGTAAAATTAATTTAAAAAATTTAATACGTAAAACATTATACTATATGACATCACACATAAGAATGAGACAAGTGATATTTGGAGAAAAGTTAACCGATTACATACACACAAGTGGATACAGGCAAAACCCAATAGTGCACCTATTCCAGATCTCCCATTAAAATTGGTGACATTACACAACCCTGTCTAAGACCTACTTTTACCAGGAAGTATTCTCCCTCTCTCCTACATAACCTAACTTGAGCCTTACTATCTTCATAAAAACTCTTTACAGCCTTAAGTAACTTACTACGTATACCATACACTTGTAACATCTGCCACATTACTCCCCTATCCACTCTATCATATGCCTTTTCTAAATCCATAAATGCAATGAAAACTTCCCTACCTTTATCTAAATACTGTTTGCGTATATGCTTCAATGTAAACAATGTAAAATATGCATTTTAAAGCTAAAAAAGGTTATGTTTCACTTCACAGCAGTAGCCTGGAACCTAACCTGCTGTATAAGCGAGGTCCTCCTGTACAATAGATGCTCTATTAGATCATTTTTTTTTGTCAATGAACTGGCAGTATCCCAGTGCGGCACGGTGACTCGAAAAAAGAAGAAATGTAAAAAATGATCGCTATCCAATTGATTCATGCTTACCATAGAACTGGTGCTGAATGTGGTCTGTAGTTTGAACACTTTATGAAACCCTTCTTCTGCTGCTTTCCGATATTTGTCATCTGTTAGGACTATTGTAAAGCGTACCGTTGTGTCAGTATGGTATTCCTTGTAGTCACTGTAATCAATAAATTTCCATTACATATAAAATTCTCATGGATATCATATTTCACTATGAGAAAAAAAAAAAAAATAGCAGAATTACCAACGAAATGTTAGGTATGTAAATATATCACAGATGTAAATAATGTGACAACGTTTCACTCATCAGGAACTTCATAAAGCTCCTGGAGAACAAAACATTTCCACAATAAAATGTCACATTAATTGCATCTGTGTCCATTTACCTAACAAAGAAAAAAAAGGGAGAAAGAGTGAAGGAGCAGAGCAGGAAAAGAGGAAGAAAGGTAACGAAAATAGAGAGTATGTGTATACGGTACCATGCAATAATGAAATTATTGAAACAAGGCTAAGTAGGATATTGCTCTTATTTTGGTAAAATACATGAAGCAAATACTAGTTTAATTCTTGAAAAATCTTTGAGTAAAATATAGGCAAAGGTAAAAAAAAAAGCTGAATGTCTTCCATTCTATCAACTGATACGAAGAAGCAGCCAATAAAACAATAAAAACAATCCAAAAAAACACCTCCAAGTCACTATTTAAAGCCAAACATACGGTCAGCATTTCCTATCCTGCACTGCACGAGGCATTTTTTATGTATTGAGCACACACACTGAACGAGATGACCACTGAAAGTGTTAAGGCACTAAAAGCTTAGAGTAGGAAGTACAGTGCCTGCACTCTAAAGCAGGGGTTTGGGATATCTGCAGTTTGGAGGGACATCTAAACTGTTGCATCTGTGCACCTCTGGGAAGACAGTGATGGTGTGAGTGATAATGAAAATGTCTTTTTTGGGTCACCCTGTCTTGGTGGGAGATGGCCAGCGAGTTAAAAAAAGTTTTTAACATGGCGTACATTCAATTTTGCTTGAAAAACAATGTTTGCTAATATGATTAAATGCAACATTTAACTGAAGAATGAATTTTTGTGAGGCGTATTAGTCAAATAATATGTTACAAAAAAATTTTGCAAGCTTGATATGGTTCACAACTGCACAGCAAAATTATCCATGTAGTCCAAATTCCTTGCAAAGGGATTTGTTTTCTTTGTATTACCATGATTCAAGGACTATCATACTGCATACCAAAACAAATTTATAAAATCAACTTGGCATAATATAAACAGCTCAGTAACTTTGAAGAAGATACTTATATTTTGTAAGCAATACATATAAAACATGCAAATTTTCCCGTTTTGTGAACCAGCCTACTCAACAATAAAACGGACCCTACCTTGTAGGGTACAAGTTTTACTTTCCTTAATGAGAACTCACTTTATGAGAATTCACTATTATGTGATGGTTTATCTCTATCAATAATAATTAATAACTTATGAGATATAGGTTTGCCTGAAGTCATTGGCACTGTTTGTCAAGCGTATTAAAGATTATGTGGAATTATATGCTGATGGCTTGAATGAGCTAGGTACATTATTATTACATTAAAGGGAGGAGCAATAAACCCATAGAGATCATACACAACTTGGAAGCAATCGGATTCAGTCCAAGGTAAGGGAGGATAGGCCCAATTCTTTGGTTCAAAATCCCCTCAATGGCATCAAGAAACCTCCCTTGGAAAGCTTGCAACAGAAGCAAAATCATAAGGTTTCAGGATTTATTTAACCCCTAAACTCTTCAAATGTAGATCTATGTTCACTCGCCCAGCACTTACTTCGAATATTTTGGAAGAAAAAAATTAAATTAAAGACAGCCATTTTTTTGTGTGTAATAAGACCCCTTTAAAAATTTTTTTTTTTTTTTAGGACAAGTACTTATAGTGATATAAGACCTCGATGTTGGCACTGGATGCTCACCTGATGGCAACATGGAGTCCTGCCGCTTGCAAAAGTGTTGCCGATATACATTTTTTTCTCGTTTTCATTTTAATTTACATAATTTTTATGTTCTGATAATTACAATTTATAATAGTTCTTGTGATTTCATAGCCAATCTTTGTTCTGACACTAATAATAAGTATTGAAATAGTACTCAAATAGTCACAATCACACTGACAGGTGAACATTTTCACCTGCCTTGGTCATTTACTATTGTCTAGAAATATATACAAAGTATTTATAGGTCTCAGCAATGTTTTAGACATGCTGGAGTATATGTGAAACTCCTAGAAGCATGGTGTTATGACTGAGTGTTACTAAACTGCTGACTGTGCAGGAATGGAGTGAGTGACACTTAATGATTGTGCACTGCTGAAGGGAACCCTGGCTTTATTTGTTTTCAGTTAGACACAAACATGTATGTCTGTCTGTCTAGCTCTGCTTATCTGTCTGAATGTGGGCCTCTGTCTTTCTGTCTGCCTGTGTGTCTCGGTCATTCTGTCTGCCTGTGTGTCTTGGTCTTTCTGTCTGCTTATGTCTCTTTCTGTCTGCCTGTATGTCTCGGTCTTTCTGTCTGCCTCTGTGTGTGTGTGTGTGTGTGTGTGTGTGTGTGTGTGTGTGTGTGTGTGTGTGTGTGTGTGTCTGTGTGTGTGTGTCTGTGTGTGTGTGTCTGTGTGTGTGTGTCTGTGTGTGTGTGTCTGTGTGTGTGTGTGTGTGTGTGTGTGTGTGTGTCTGTCTTTCTGTCTGCTTTTCTCTCAGTCTCAGGGAGCGGCTCGTAAACCAACAGGTATTACAAGTGATGCAGTCATCACGTCTGATTCGTGAAAAGGCGTATTACTTGCCAGTCATGCTTATGTCTAATATCTATAAGCACTGTATAGCACTTTGTCTGGAATTTTTGGGTTATCCTAGGTAATTTACACTATGTATAATAACTGTACTTATGTGTACATGTGAGAAAGAGAGATATAGACAGACAGACAGAGATATAGACAGAAACAGAGAGACAGCAAAAGTCAGCCAGCCGACCACCCAGCTGGCCAGCCTGCCGAAGACTTATTATACATGTTCCAGAATCGTTTCTCTTTACTACTTAGGGCATAAGTTATAGGAATTCTGGCAGGATGACACTACCAGTGGTATCAAAAAATGAAAGGATGTTGCACAAATGTTACACATGGGTTATTATAGACATATTTTTTATACTTCCTTGACCACTTGAAGCCAAATCAAGCACTTTCCTCTTAAAAGGGGTGTTAATACGACATGACATCATTGAATTCCTGGTGTTTGCGACACTATTTACTTTAGCTGGCACTCAATTTAACTGGTGCTCCCACAAGGTATTAAATGGTCCTAGAATTTTTTTTAATAAGGAACACACCAAGTGTTAAGACACATTCTATATTAACCAGGCAACTCAGGCCAATCATGCCAAATTTGGAGGCAGGAAAAATAAAATGAAGATCTACGTTTGGAGCGCTAGCGTACAAACGTAGATCTATGTTTGGAAAGTTTAAGGGTTAAAGGGGTTCAAGTTTGAACACTTTTTTTTTTTTTCCAACAAGTCGGCCGTCTCCCACCGAGGCAGGGTGACCCAAAAAAAGAAAGAAAATCCCCAAAAAGAAAATACAGTGGACCCCCGGTTAACGATATTTTTTCACTCCAGAAGTATGTTCAGGTGCCAGTACTGACCGAATTTGTTCCCATAAGAAATATTGTGAAGTAGATTAGTCCATTTCAGACCCCCAAACATACACGTACAAACGCACTTACATAAATACACTTACATAATTGGTCGCATTCGGAGGTAATCGTTATGCGGGGGTCCACTGTACTTTCATCATCATTCAACACTTTCACCACACTCACACATTATCACTGTTTTTGCAGAGGTGCTCAGAACACAACAGTTTAGAAGCATATACGTATAAAGATACACAACATATCCCTCCAAACTGCCAATATCCCAAACCCCTCCTTTAAAGTGCAGGCATTGTACTTCCCATTTCCAGGACTCAAGTCCGACTATATGAAAATAACTAGTTTCCCTGAATCCCTTCACTAAATATTACCCTGCTCACACTCCAACAGATCGTCAGGTCCCAAGTACCATTCGTCTCCATTCACTCCTATCTAACACGCTCACGCACACAAACACGAGGTGACAGGGTTAAATTCATAATGATGGAACTTTTTTGAGAAAAGTATGTAGGTGAAGCATTTAATAGATTTTGGGTATGCCGTAAGTAGAGGAATAACACTTTATAATGAGAAAAGTGAAAAGATGGTAAGGTCAAGAAAAGGAAAATTAAATGGAAAATTATAAAAACTAAAGAGCAAGACTTCATTAAGTATACAAAACACATGAGCATAGTACATAAAATAAAAATATAGTGGACACACTTTTCTGTTGTACTGTTACATAAGCTCCTCATATTTGCTATTTACAAATATTCATTGAATACAAAAATAATTATTTTGTATAACTTACGTTATCATGGCTGGAGCCTTCTCTGTCCCTGCAAGAAGACTTTCCATGACAGTTTCCTTATATGGTTGTGTCCACACCCGGATTGGAAGTTCTGTAATTTCCATTTTATTATGGCCAAGATCAGCTATTTCACCATGTGAAATGTATCGTTGAAGATCCAATTCATCTATAGTGCCTCTGAAGTTTTTGAACCATGGTTTCTGACAAAAAATAAAAACTCAATTTATATAAAAAACATATACAGGTACCATCCGACTTACGACCAAGCTTGGTTCCGACCAACCGATCGTAAGTCAAAATGGACGTAAGTCGAACCTTACTACTGAGTATCAACATCACACTTTTGTAATGATTTTATTATATTGTTTTATTTTGGTATTTCATTTTTTACTTTACTTTTTATGCTGTTAGTACTGTATTTTATATCATAAAGTTTATGATAAACACACTATACAACACAAACTGTTGTTTATTTCCCAGAAATTTGGCATAAAAAACATGGTCGTAAGTCGAGTGGTCGTAAGTCGGATAATGCAAGGAGTAAGGGGCTAGTAACCCCTTCACCTGTATAAATTACTAAAGGTAAAAAGGAGGGACCTCTAAACTGTCACATCTGAGTGCCTCTGCAAAGACAGTGATTACGTATGAGTGATGGTGAAAATGTTTTTATTTCTTTCTGAGTCACCCTGCCAGAGGAGCATAGATACTACAGTTCACATGCCATTTCAAAGCTGCAAATGTCCCAACCCTCCTTTGGAGTGCAGGCACTGTACTTCCCACCTCCAGGACTCAAGTCGAGCTGACTAGTTTCCCTGAATCCCTTCATAAAATGTTAACCTGCTTACACTCCAACAGCTCATCAGGTCCCAAAAACCATTTGCCTCCACTCACTCCTATCTAACATGCTCACACATGCCTGCTGGACATCTGAGCCCCTTGCACACCAAAATCCCCTTTGCTCCCTCCCTTCATTCTTTCCTAGGGAAAACCCTACCCCACCTTCAATCCACTACAGATTTATACATCCTCCCTCTCTAAATGTTCGAACGAACCACCTCAACAACTCCTCCCCAGCCCTCTGGATAATACTTTTAGCAACTCTGCACCTCCTATTCTCCAAGATATGAATTCTCTGCATAACATTTATACCATACTTGCTCTCAGACATGACATCACTGTCTCCAGCCTCCTCCTCTCTGCAACTTTCATAACCCATACATCACAAGTGTTCATACCACTAAACTCTCATACAGTTCCCTCTTTGCATCCATGGATAACATTCTTTGTCTCCATTGTTACCTCAATGCCCCACCCACCTTTCTGCCTTCATCAATTGTATGCTCACTTCGTCTTTAACCCTTTGACTGTCGCAACCCCCAATCCTGAGGTGTCTCCTGGTGTCGCAAGATTTAAAAAAAAAAAAAAAAAAAAAAAAAAAAAAATCTTATGAAATGATAGAGAATATTTTCCCGATTGTAAAGACACCAAAAAAAACGAAATTTGATGGGAAACTGACGGAATTATGCTCTCGCGAAGTTAGCGACCTCGGCGATATTTACAAATCGGCGATTTCGCCCACTTTGAGCCCTATTTTCGGCTAATTCCATTGTTCCAGTCACCCAAACTCATAGCTATTTCTTTAGTACTCCATTTTTTCTATCGATTGAGTACAAGAAACTGCCCATTTACCAATTTCAACTACCCAATAATGTGGTCAGAAATTTGCAATTTGGCCAATTTCACGAAAATTAAAAAATATGACAATTTCAAAGTAAGGTCCAGAATGAACAATGCAGACATCCCTGGCTCTAAAATCACATTTTCTTTGTTCATCAGTCATGTCTCCAGGCCCCTCTGATATTACTCTTGCTTTCTATTTTGAATTTTTATTCAAACAAAAAATAGAAGACTTACTATTATGCAGACTACTGCAATACTGTAATAATTGTATAAATAACATCAACCCATTTATGACTGCATATTAGAATGGCTAGTTGGACATTTATTGGACAATGACATCATTTGTTTACTTTTGAACATTGGCAAAAATCAAACATTTCCCCTACTTTGAGCTCCATTTCCAGGTTCTTTTTATAGTAAAATCAATCAAAATCACTGCTACTTCTATAATATGTTTGCCATTCTATCAAATGAGACCAAGAAAATGAGAATACAACCATGAATACTATACGAAAATAGACCACAAAGTCGGCATTTTAATTAAAAACAAAATGGTCGAGTTTTTTTTTCTCATTATGCACTGTGTGCTCCAGGATTTTTTTTTATATGGTGCACACTGACCACACAGACCCATTCTCTCACATGTGGGCCTACCAGCTTTCTCCTGCTTGATTTGAAGCCGCTAGAATTTATGAGTATATATACGTCAAACACGGTACGTACCTCGTAAGACGTATATATACGGCTGCGACAGTCAAAGGGTTAATATGCCCATCCACAAACAAATCCACCCCAAAATATCTGAACACATTCACATACTCCCTCCCTCCAATCCGATAACAAATCTTTCGTTACCCAACTCATTTGTTACCCCTCATATGTTTTTTTTCTTTTTAACAAGTCGGCCGTCTCCCACCGAGACAGGGTGACCCAAAAAGAAAGAAAATCCCCAAAAAGAAAATACTTTCATCATCATTCAACAGTTTCACCTCACTCACACATAATCACTGTTTTTGCAGAGGTGCCCAGAACACAACAGTTAAGAAGCATATACGTATAAAGATACACAACATATCCCTCCAAACTGCCAATATCCCGAAACCCCTCCTTTGGAGTGCAGGCATTGTACTTCCCATTTCCAGAACTCAAGTCCAGCTATATAAAATAACCAGTTTCCCTGAATCCCTTCACTAAATATTACCCTGCTCACACTCCAACAGATCGTCAGGTCCCAAATACCATTCGTCTCCATTCACTCCTATTGAACATGCTCATGCACGCCTGCTGGAAGTCCAAGCCCCTCGTCCATAAAACCTCCCTTACCCCTTCCTTCCAACCTTTTCGAGGACGACCCCTACCCAGCCTTCCTTCCCCTACAGATTTAAATGCTCCCCATGTCATTCTACTTTGATCCATTCTCTCTAAATGACCAAACCACCTCAACAACCCCTCTTCAGCCCTCTGACTAATACTTTTATTAACCCCACACCTCCTAATTTCCACACTCCGAATTTTCTGCATAATATTTACACCACACATTGCCCCTAGACAGGACATCTCCACTGCCTCCAACCGCCTCCTCACTGCTGCATTCACAACCCAAGCTTCACACCCATATAAGAGTGTTGGTACTACTATACTTTCATACATTCCCTTCTTTGCCTCCATAGATAACGTTTTTTGACTCCACATATACCTCAACGCACCACTTGCCTTTTTTCCCCTCATCAATTCTATGATTAACCTCATCCTTCATAAATCCATCCGCCGACACGTCAACTCCCAAGTATCTGAAAACATTCACTTCTTCCATACTCCTCCTCCCCAATTTGATATCCAATTTTTCTTCATCTAAATCACTTGATACCCTCATCACCTTACTCTTTTCTATGTTCACTTTCAACTTTCTACCTTTACACACACTCCCAAACTCATCCACTAACCTTTGCAATTTTTCTTTAGAATCTCCCATAAGCACAGTATCATCAGCAAAAAGTAACTGTGTCAATTCCCATTTTGTATTTGATTCCCCATAATTTAATCCCACCCCTCTCCCAAACACCCTAGCATTTACTTCTTTTACAACCCCATCTATAAATATATTAAACAACCATGGTGACATTACATATCCCTGTCTAAGACCTACTTTTACCAGGAAGTAGTCTCCCTCTCTTCTACACACCCCTAAATTGAAAAATAACCATAGGCTTTTATTCACAATGTGCTCATTTTTTCTTTGAATGCCAGTATTAGTATTAAACAGATAAATATTTAAAAGATATATGACCAAATTACTTTTAACCCTTAAACTGTCCAAATGTAGAGCTACGTTTTTTTCAACATTTGAAAGTATGTAAAAAAAGTAGATCTTTTCTTTTTTTACATTTGAAAATGTGTAAAAAAAACTGATCTACATTTTTTTTTTTGTTATATTTGAAAATATCCTAGGTAGTAGGTTGGTAAACAGCAACCGCCCAGGGAGGTACTACTGTCCTGCCAAGTGAGTGTACAACGAAAACCTGTAATTGTTTTACATGATGGTAGGATTGCTGGTGTCTTTTGTCTGTCTCATAAACATGCAAGATTTCAGGAATGTCTTGCTACTTCTATTTGCACTTAGGTCACACTACACATACATGTACAAGCATATATATACACACCCCTCTGGGTATTCTTTTATTTTCTTTCTAGTTGTTGTTCTTGTTTATTTCCTCTTATCTCTATGGGGAAGTGGAACAGAATTCTTCCTCCGTAAGCCATGCGTGTTGTAAGAGGCGACTAAAATGCCGGGAGCAAGGGGCTAGTCACCCCTTCTCCCGTATAAATTACTAAATTTAAAAGAGAAACTTTTGTTTTTCTTTTTGGGCCACCCTGCCTTGGTGGGATATGGCCGGTGTATTGAAAGAAAGATAGATTTGAAAATATGTAAAAAAAACGTAGATCTACTTTTGGAGCACTATGCATTTGAACATAGATCTGCTTGGACAGTTTAAGGGTTAAATATTTGAGACATGCTAAACCTCCTATCATCCTTGACTTAAGGGTTCAGGAACCTAACCCCTGCAAATTACAAGGTTTATCTATAAACTAAAATTGATTATTATCAGCCACACAATGCAAAAGCCAAGTATCACAACCAAGTATGTAACAAATTAAACAATATAGGATCCATAAAAAAACATTTTTTCTAAGAAAGCATGCAATACATACAGTGAAATCTCAACTTACGAGTTTAATTAATTCTGTGACCTAGCTCATAACTCAATTTGCTCGTATATCAAATCAATTTTCCTCATTTAAATTAACTGAAATGCAGTTAATCCATTTCAGCGGAATTCCTACTCTCGGGAGGCAAGACAAAATACTTCAATATAACGCTAATATCAACTCTATAGATTATTTATCTATCACAATTCATCTAATATGACATAATAAACAATATAAACACAGAAACATGATACATACTCTAAAACGAATAAAATATGTCATTATGTGACAAGTGGTGGCTGCCATTCCCACTCCAGCTCAGACCATATCTTCCCATGCTCTTATTATAAGAGAAAATGGAGTGTTTGTGAGACTAACTGCACTAGATAACTAGTTTCATAAGGAAAACACTGAAACAATGTATTTATAAATAAGAAATATTGTATAAAAACATAATAGAGAATGTAAAGAAATAAAGTGGTTATATAAAGTGTACATACATATTTACCTTGGAGAAGAGATGCTGACGAAGATGAGGGTGGAAAAGATGGGCAGAGAGGCATATGCTGTCAGTGGCCCTATAAACAACAACAACATTGGAGGAGTTCGTTTTGTTTCGTTTTTTCTATCGCTTAATTGCTTAACCTGCTACACTCTTAATGGTACAACCCACACACTTTGCTTATGTTTATCTATGATTTCATGCTTTAATTCCATAGACATCATCCTCTTTCTTCTCAGCACTGCCCTTTGCACTTACTTTCTTAGGACCCATGGTTAGAAAAAACAAATTTGGCAAAATAACTGCACAAAACATGAGAAATGCTTCCACGGCGAGGTAAACATGTGCACTGCTCAGCTGATGTTGTGTTGTTCGCTGAGCCAACTAGTGGCAGCGTTCTGAAGCTCGGTCATTATTATTATAATGGGGAAGTGCTAAACCCATAGGATTATACAGTGCCTGTGGGGGAGGGGGGGGAGGAGATGGAAGGTATTCAGGTTTAATTTAAGGAACTGGAGTACAGATCCAATTCCTTTGATCAAGCGCCCCTAACCAGTGGCAAGGAACCTCCCTTGAGGGGTAAGCTTGCTCGTAACTCAGAGCAAAAAAGTGACCAAGCGACAGCTCGTATCTCAAACAACTTGTATGATGGGGGCACTCGTAAGTCGAGGTTCGATTGTACTTGGTATTTCAGTTTTACGACAGCACTAGCAATGTAACTAAATAGGTAGTTAAAGCAAACGTTTCCCTTCAAGTTTAAGTCAACAAGATATGTAGAGAAACTTGTTTTAAATTATACACAAACTTCATATACTTACCATTTTGACTGGAGGTTCACCAGCAATCATTCTCTTTAGGTTATGCACAATTTCTCGAGGGTTGTAATTAGGAATTTTAGTGCTCCATCCAGTGCCAATACCATCTGCTCCATTTACCAACACCATTGGAATGATAGGTAAGTACCACTCTGGTTCAATTCGTTGATTGTCATCATAATTATTCTTCAGTAATGGTTCATCGTGTGGATGAAAGATGAGTCTTGCAAGTGGGCTACAATAAATAAACCTCAATTAGACAAAGAGGAGGATAAGAGATAAGGGGGCACAATGGAGAGGGAGAGAGGAAGGAAGGAAGGGAGAGGAGAAGTGTTTGTGAGTGGGGTGGGGATGGGGGTGGGAGTGGGGGGTGCACCCATACGAGTGCATGTGTGAGTGTATGTGGGTGTGAGTGTATGTGGGTGTGAGTATATGTGGGTGTGAGTGTATGTGGGTGTGAGTATGTGGGTGTGAGTGTATGTGGGTGTGAGTGTATGTGGGTGTGAGTGTATGTGGGTGAGTGTATGTAGGTGTGAGTGTATGTGGGTGTGAGTGTATGTGGGTGTGAGTGTATGTGGATGTGAGTGTATGTGGGTGTGAGTGTATGTGGGTGTGAGTGTATGTGGGTGTGAGTGTATGTGGGTGTGAGTGTATGTGGGTGTGAGTGTATGTGGGTGTGAGTGTATGTGGGTGTGAGTATGTGGGTGTGAGTGTATGTGGGTGTGAGTGTATGTGGGTGTGAGTGTATGTGGGTGTGAGTGTATGTGGGTGTGAGTGTATGTGGGTGTGTGTGCATGTACAGGTGTGCACATACGTGTGCATAGAGAGAAAAGAAAGAAAAAAAAAGGAGAGAGAGAGAGGAGACAAGGCAAAAAAGAAGAGGAAAAAAAGAAAAAAAAGAGAAAAAAGAGAAAAAAAAGAGAAAAAGAGAAAAAAGAGAAAGAAAAAAAAAGAAAGGGAAAGAAGAAAAAAAGAGAAGTAAAGAAAATAACAGAGAAAGAGAGAAAAAGAGACTAATTTCTTTTAATAGTAGTCAACAAATGTAATGTTTGCATACACTAATAGGAAACTGATGATGATTATATATAAAATGTTTATTACCAATAGAGTCAGAGGTCTAATTAACAAATGAAACTAAATTAGCTGTTTCCTGCACTGAAGACAACACGTGTAGTGTTTTCATATCCTCTCCATCATTGGGGCTAAACTATAAGGATAACAGAGACAAGGTTTATAGACAATTAAGATGTATAAACATACAAAACTCAACATAAACACAGAAAAGAAATTGCTGTTGAAAATTAATGGTCTAGGCAATGACAGACTGGGTGTCAAACTGGTGGGGAAGAAAATGAGTATGGAGGATGTAAAAGTAATTAGATATATACTTATCACCATATAAAAATGATAAATGTATTAAATATAACGGCACCAACAATTTTGTATTTGTGTGATGTACAAGTGATCTTTGATTGTTACAGAAGAGGAAGCTGGAGGCAGCAGAAAACAAGGAGTGAAGAAGTTGGAATTTGGCATTATGGTATGAGAGGTAGAATTTGAAGAATGCACCAGTCTGATTTAGAAAGGCTGGAGACAGACTGATGAAAAGAGAACATAAATTTGGAAGGAAGGGTTGGAATGATGAGTATGGTGGTGGTTAATAGTAGGGTTTTGAACATAAAGCAGGCATGCATGGGAGTGTGAAATCAAAGCACACAAGTTGTTTTTGAGCTTTGGCATATTGTTTAAGTGTGAGCAAGTAAACATTTATGAAGGGATTTAAAGAAACAAGCAAGTAAGATTTTAGTTCTGGGGATGGGAAACAGTGCCTGCTCTCAAGTGGGATACGTGGTGATATTGCAGTTCGGAGTGGTTTGATCTGGGAGTCATGCACCTCTAGACAGACAGTTAAGAGAATGAGTGATGGTGAATACTTCCTTCATTGGGTCACCCTACTTGGTGGGAAACAGCCAGTGTTAAAGAATGCATTTCCATTAAAAAATCACATTCTGATGTATAAATAACAAGCCAGCACACGCCGGTAACTTGCAAGAATTTCTCACGACAATACCTTAATTTAGTGAAGATGTATCGAGGGCTGGCAGAGTCTTTACCACCCTGAAGCCTAGTACCAAACTGACCAATTGGCATCAACAGGTTAATATTATTTGAACCCACAAAGTTCTGTGCCAAATTGATAATTGTGGACATAAGTGAAGCTTCACCATGGTGATATGCTGAATGTTCTGCAACTGAACCAGCAAGCTGAGCCACTTTAACTTCTTTCTTTTCATATCGCTTTAGGCATGTATACATCACCTGTTGGAGAACCAAATAATTTTTATTAATATTAATACATTTTTTTACATTTAATATGAGATAATTAATTGTTTTCTTACATTTCTAGGATTTAGGTTAATTAGTAGATTATGAGCAAATTATAAATCTTCTTCTTTCAACAAACCAGCTGTATTCCACTGAGGCAGAGTAGCCCAAAAAGTAAAAACATTTTTCTTTTTAACTTCAGTAATGTATACAGAAGGGGTTACTAGCCCCTTGCTCAAAAGCATATGGCTTGACAGATGATGCAGTATACTCCTCAATGAATGGCAGGGGTGCCACGAGTAAACCAAGACAACACAACAAATGAAAGGGCTAAGACTGTTCAACGACCTTCTATCATACATAAGAGGGATTAAACCATACCACAGGCAGGGATAGAACCAGCTATCAGTCATAAAACTCCAGACCAACCTGCTAGCCACTGGGCTAGCTGGCTACAACAAGATTTGTCCAACTATGTATATTTATACACCATAGGAAGGTTAGCTTAGGCACCACAGTGACCACAAATGCAAGATTTCATTAATCATGATAGTGGCTTTGAGGGGACTTGAGCTAGAGCTAGTCACGGTTATGCTGGCACGAGATTCGTCTGTAAAAACTTGCATTTGTGGTCAAAGTGGTGCCTATGCTAACCTTCCTATGGTGTATAAATATACCTAGTTGGACGAATCTTGTAGCCAGCTGGCCCAGTGGCTAGCGCATCAGTCTGGAGTTTTATGACTGATCGCAGGTTCTATCCCTGCTCGTGGTATGGTTTGTTTGCAACTGTGTCATTATGGTTTTGCGAGCCATAAGAGGGAAGAGTTTTTACGAGGATAGTGAGGCTCAAGTTAGAGTATGTAGGAAAGAGGGAAATTATTTCACAGTAAAAGTAGGCCTTAGACAAGGATGTGTGATGTCACCGTAGTTGTTTAATATATTTATAGATGGGGTTGTAAGAGAAGTAAATGCGAGGGTCTTGGCAAGAGGCATGGAGTTAAAAGATAAAGAATCACACATAAAGTGGGAGTTGTCACAGTTGCTCTTTGCTGATGACACTGTGCTCTTGGGAGATTCTGAAGAGAAGTTGCAGAGATTGGTGGATGAATTTGGTAGGGTATGCAAAAAAAGAAAATTAAAAGTGAATACAGGAAAGAGTAAGGTTATGAGGATAACAAAAAGATTAGGTGATGAAAGATTGGATATCAGATTGGAGGGAGAGAGTATGGAGGAGGTGAATGTATTCAGATATTTGGGAGTGGACGTGTCAGCGGATGGGTCTATGAAAGATGAGGTGAATCATAGAATTGATGAGGGGAAAAGGGTGAGTGGTGCACTTAGGAGTCTGTGGAGACAAAGAACTTTGTCCTTGGAGGCAAAGAGGGGAATGTATGAGAGTATAGTTTTACCAACACTCTTATATGGGTGTGAAGCATGTGTGATGAATGTTGCAGCGAAGAGAAGGATGGAGGCAGTGGAGATGTCATGTCTGAGGGCAATGTGTGGTGTGAATATAATGCAGAGAATTCGTAGTTTGGAAGTTAGGAGGAGGTGCGGGATTACCAAAACTGTTGTCCAGAGGGCTGAGGAAGGGTTGTTGAGGTGGTTCGGATATGTAGAGAGAATGGAGCGAAACAGAATGACTTCAAGAGTGTATCAGTCTGTAGTGGAAGGAAGGCGGGGTAGGGGTCGGCCTAGGAAAGGTTGGAGGGAGGGGGTAAAGGAGGTTTTGTGTGCGAGGGGCTTGGACTTCCAGCAGGCATGCGTGAGCGTGTTTGATAGGAGTGAATGGAGACAAATGGTTTTTAATACTTGACGTGCTGTTGGAGTGTGAGCAAAGTAACATTTATGAAGGGGTTCAGGGAAACCGGCGGGCCGGACTTGAGTCCTGGAGATGGGAAGTACAGTGCCTGCACTCTGAAGGAGGGGTGTTAATGTTGCAGTTTAAAAACTGTAGTGTAAAGCACCGTTCTGGCAAGACAGTGATGGAGTGAATGATGGTAAAAGTTTTTCTTTTTCGGGCCACCCTGCCTTGGTGGGAATCGGCCAGTGTGATGATAATAAAAAAAAAAAAAAAAAAAAAAGAGGGATTGCTAATAGATCCCTAGTTGACTTCAGAGGGCACTACACAGGTTCTTAAATTCAGTTGGGCTGTGATTCATATGTTGGACTGCATGCAGCCAGCACTAACAGCCTGGATAATTAGGCCCTGATCCACCAAGAGGCCTGGTCACAGGCCAGGACACACAGGCATTGACCATCTGAACACTCTCCAGGTACAGCACTTTCCAAGGCCTCCAAAATTTAAATAAAAATATTACAAGTAGTGTAAGAACTATTAAGAAACACAGGAAATTGAAGATAAGTATATACTGAATGTAGAAATTTATAATATAACAAAGTTCCATAAACTCTTAAGGCATGATGGTCTTACCTCCCATCTACCAACTACAAAGATGTCTTATATTTATTCAAGCTCTACAAGTACAGTGAATTAAGAGGGACATGTTATCACTTTGTAGGCCTGTAGGGACAATATATCAAAAATTAATCAGGCGCAATACATACACTCCAATGCTTTATATATATACATGTCACAAAATAGGCCTTGTCTCCATGCCAAAAATAATTAAGAGGTCCTAAATAATAGCTACCAAATGTGTTAACAGAAAAACATTACACACTAAAAAATTAGGAAAAAAAAAAAAAAGGCTTCTCAATCTTTTGAGTGTTATTAAGTTTGCATATATATTTGAGCACACAAAATATAATTGTAAGCATGCTTATATATACATTACATGTAACCATACTTGTTTCCAAGAAGAGAACATGTATAAAATATAAATTTATACCTTTCTCTGTCCAGGCTTAAATCCATCTACTAATGATGGAATTGAACGTTCATTGTCCAAATTTGAGAAGAGAACCAACTCCTTGTTGACAAAATCAGAGTATGTAACAACCCGTGTGTCTTTTTCATAGAGGTAGATATCTGGCAGACCTAGTTCCTTCCGCCGCTTGCATTCTTCCATCCATCCTGTCAACCACTCCTTGCGTTGTTCCACAGCCTTTCTACTAAATGCCTGTAAATAAGAAAGTACTACTGGTAATTAAAATTATATGTATAAACACCTTATATATACTTTATGTATATATATATATATTGTAGGTAGTAGGTTGGTAGACAGTAACCACCCAGGGAGGTACTACCGTCCTGCCAAGTGAGTGTAAAACAGAATCCTGTAATTGTTTTACATGATGGTAGGATTGCTGGTGTCTTTTTTCTGTCACTTAAACATGCAAGATTTCAGGTACGTCTTGCTTCTTCTACTTACACTTAGGTCACACTACACATAGATGTACAAGCATATATATACACACACCCCTCTGGATTTTCTTCTATTTTCTTTCTAGTTCTTGTTCTTGTTTAGTTCCTCTTATCTCCATGGGGAAGTGGAATAGAATTCTTCCTCCGTAAGCCATGTGTGTTGTAAGAGGCGACTAAAATGCCGGGAGCAAGGGGCTAGTAACCCCTTCTCCTGTATATATTACTATATGTAAAAGGAGAAACTTTCGTTTTTCCTTTTGGGCCACCCCGCCTTGGTGGGATACGGCCAGTGTGTTGAAAGAAAGAAAGAAAAGATATATATATTAACAGCCACAAGGTGGGGGGTGTGCTAAATGGTTTTGAAAAACAAGTTGAAGATTGAGACACTTATGTAACATACTGGAATCTTTATTAAGGAGCATAAGTGTCTTGATCTTCAAAGACCATCTCCCGCAAGGCAAGGTGACCCAAAGAACACACATTCACCATCGCTTAGCCAACTGAATGATGGTAATCATTCAGCCAATGAATGATCACCCAGCAACTGCAAAGTCCCCACCCCTCCTTCAGGGTGCAGACACTGCCCTTCTACTTCCAGGACTCAAGTAGTCCAGCTAACTGGCTTTCTTGAATACCTTTATAAAAGTTACCTTGATTAAATTCCGACATGTCAAATTAAAAATACTTGTCTCCATTCACCTCTATCTAACAAGCCTGTTTGATGCTCAAGCTCATGAAAGTTAAACACTTTAGTATTTCCTCCTAGCTCACTCCCCTCAATGCCAGAGTATATTTGCTTTACAAAACAGTAAAAAGTTCCTTGTTTAAAGATTTAAAGTCAGTTCTCACTTTTCTGATCATGAATATGATGTTGGTCTATCCTTCAAATGCACCACAGTAATTTTTTTTTTTTTTTGTCAGACACTTAAGCTGTTTCCTTATCAGAGGTCTTCTGACAGTCAAAAGAATATGCCAACTATCTATAATCTTCCTTTCCCATGTCTGGCCTTCATCAACCTATCATAGAATTTTTATAGGATCTGGTGGCAAGATTTGCCATTGATATATCAGATGTTTTGCAACATACATTTTCCAATGATACTACTAAACCCTTTTGTCTTTCCCATTGTTTATAAAACTCATTATATGGCACCAGCATGTATTAGAGTGCCTCCAGTCTGCCTCATTTCTTGAACAGCCATCTTTCACATGTATGTCAGTTGCACTACCATAAATATTCTCAATGTTCAGAACAAAGCCTATTATTTACTAGTACAAAGTATTCAGTTTTTCTCAAGCTAATAGTTAATACAATGTGTTTCCTTGCACAGTATGAAATTAGTAAAAATAAATCAATAATAAAATATTTTCTACTGTAATATAATCAAAGACATTTTGAAAAAAAATTTTGTTACAGTATTTAAATAATGTAGACTTAGCCTCACCATTTGAATGGAATGATCATCTTGTGCTCCACCATAATTAAAGCGAATCCGATGGCGCACCATGTCATTGAAGTACTCTTTAGCTTCCTTGGAAGTAGATGTACCCAAACCTGTAGTAAAGCATAACCAGTACCATTACAACAAGCATGAAAAATGGCAACATAAAAATGTGGGGAAGGGCAAGAAGGTTATCACTTCAAATGCCATGCTAAGGCTTCTAGGATTTCGATCAAAGGTAGAACTTACCAATACAATATTTGACAAAAATCTGATAAAGTTGCCAGATAATTTTTGTTACATTCTCTCAAAGCAGGGTGATTCAAAGAAAATGCATTCACCACTACTCAGTCAACCTCTGTTTTGCCAGAAGTGTGTTGCCATAACATTCAGATTATACTCCAACTAGCTTCTCCACCCCTCTAGACCAGGCACTGTCCTTCCCATCTCCAAAACTCATCAGGCTAACCAGTTTACCCTGAATCCTTCTATAAAAGTTTCTCTCTTTCTCTATTCACACCTATCTAACAAACTCACACAAGCCTGTAATAATGTTGGTAGAATTACCAACAATATGTAAAGTAAAAGGACACAAGTGACATTTTATTGTGGCAACATTTCGCTCTTCAGGAGCTCGTAACAGCTTGACAAAGCTCCTGCAGAGCGAAACGCTGCCACAATAAAACGTCACATTAGTTGCACTTGTGTCCTTTTACTTTACAATCTCGCACAAGCCTGCTGAATACCCCATTTATCCCCCCCCCTCCTGTCTTTCCTTTGATAATCCATACCCCCTCCTACATTCTGCCCTACCCCAGATTTATACATCCTTTTCATCATCCTAACCCTCACCATCCTCTCTAAATGTTCACATTGCCTCAGTAACCCTTCCCTCACCCTTTTGAATTATACTTTTCATGACCCCCACATTGTCTTTTAATTTCAACACTTCTAATTCTCTGCATGATATTCGCCATACTCATTGCTCATAAACTTGACATCTTCACTGGCTCTAGTCTCTTTCTCGTTGGAGCGTTTAAAACCCATGCCTCTCACCCATACAAGTGTTGGTATCACTCTACTCTGGTACAGATAAAAAGCTGCAATAGAAAAAAAATTAATATTGGCAGTGCTTTTTAGTTTTTTTTTTCATTCCAGTATGTACGATTTCATTGCCGTAAAACAAAATTAAGAAATCAAGAAGATATGCCATCCTCCTAATTTTGTAAACTCTGCCTACTCTCATGCTAAAAGAACTTTCTTCAAACCTAACCCAACTTTTACTGTGAGATTTTCTCTGCTTGGCATTCCCTATATTACTAGTTTAAATCCTAATAAAAACTTATTGCCTCAAACTAATACACTTTGTATCACTCTGTTTCTCATTACATCTCTCACATTAATACTCACAGTATCTACTATTTCCTACTCATCCTGCACCTTTCCAATACATTGGTCAAACTTGTTATTCATTGGTGTTCACCTTGCTGACACTACCAGTTTTTTCTGCTGTGCCAGAGATATTAGCCACCCCATAAAATGGTCGTCTACCAAAACTATGCATCCCTCTTCTAGCCTTCACCGACACTGTCATCTTGAATTGGCCCACAAACAGTAATTAATAAATCTTTTATTTTTGCTTCTCCAAATATACAATGAAATATACTAATCTTCTGAACATATAACTTGATCTAAACTTCACTACTGCCCCTCAACTTTTTAACTGACCTATCATCTACGTTTCTCCCACTTTCTCATTTCCTTCCACCCACATATTGGTCCTGAGCCTTCCACACACCTGCTCACCCCTTAAAAACATAAAAGGCATATTGGTGGTGGTAATGCTAAGGATGTTGCAGCCAAAAGTGCTGTCACCTAAGCACACAAATACCACTCATGACTCATGCACTGCTGCCTGCTGCTGCCAAAAGCACCAGTATTAACCACATGGAACTGCCAAGACAGAACCTCCATGCACTTTAGACTTTGATAATAAATATTCAGGGGTACAACACTATGGGTCAAACTATACTTCAGGGCCATACCTTAAAACATATCTTCAGTAACAATGAACACTTAAAATCCCCCGTTCCCTCTACGTTTTGGACAAATTACAAACAATTTAATGCTATGGGAAATGTCTGCTACCAGAGCACTTAGGCTTCAGTGACCTAATTTTTTTACTGTTGAGATTACTTTAACAGGCAATTACAATTACAATAAGAACAATAACTTAAAAAAAAAAAACAAGGAAGTCAAGAAGGTGACTGCTGGCAACAGATGGTTATCAACTTAGGATTGTTAAAATTCAACATTTAAATTCCATTCAGAACGTTATGATCAACGCATTTATTTAGGTTATTCTGTTTAAGCTTCTAAGTTATTAATTTAAATGCCTTAATTTACATGAATACCTTTGTAGTATTTTATCTTGTAACTTGGCCAGTTGTCCTTTGATTTCTTCCATTCTTCAAACTCAGGTAAGGAGTAGAACGAAATTTCCTCCTTTCCCTTAGTGGCTTTGACAATTGGGGTAATGAATTCCTCCATAAAAGAATGCCGAAGCAGTGTAGGCCAATTATGATGGATGAAGTTGATCAACAGACCCTTAATGTGAGAACCATCCTAGAAATACACAAATATACTTTGTTAATTCCACACTTGCTGCTGCTAGTCTAGGTGCATTTCCATAAATTTATCCCCATCTACCTCAAAAATGCTGCTCTTCCATCCTTTTTCACATATTCATATTTGTATCAAGCCCAACTTGCCATATTTTTCTTTACCCTTCCAATCACATATCACACCCTTCCCATAAATTTTATTATCTATAACTATAAAAATACTATAAAAATACTATAAAAATAGGTAGTAGGTTGGTAGACAGCAACCACCCAGGGAGGTACTACCGTCCTGCCAAGTGAGTGTAAAACGAAGCCTGTGATTGTTTTACATGATGGTAGGATTGCTGATGTCTTTTGTCTGTCTCATAAATATGCAAGATTACAGGCATGTCTTGCTACTTCTACTTACACTTAGGTCACACTACACATACATGTACACATTTATTTATACACACTCATCTGAGTTTTCTTTGATTTTATCTTAATAGTTCTTGGTCTTATTAATTTTCCTTTTATATCCATGGGGAAGTGGAATAAGAATCTTTCCTCCGTAAGCCATGCGTGTTGTAAAAGTCAACTAAAATGCCGGGAACAATGGGCTAGTAACCCCTTTTCCTGTAAAGATTACTAAAAAGAATAAGAAGAAGAAAATTGTCAAAGTGGGAAGTCTGAATGTGCGTGGATGTTGTGCAGATGATAAGAAAGAGATGATTGTGGATGTTATGAATGAGAAGAAGCTGGATGTCCTGGCTTTAAGTGAAACAAAGCTGAAGGGGGTAGGAGAGTTTCAGTGGAGAGGAATAAATGGGATTAGGTCAGGGGTTTCAAATAGAGTTAGAGCTAAAGAAGGAGTAGCAATAATGTTGAAGGATAAGCTATGGCAGGAAAAGAGGGACTATAAATGTATTAATTCAAGGATTATGTGGAGTAAAATAAAGATTGGATGTGAAAAGTGGGTTATAATAAGCGTGTATGCACCTGGAGAAGAGAGAAGGTAGAGGAGAGAGAGAGATTTTTGGGAAATGTTGAGTGAATGCGTGGGGAGTTTTGAATCAAGTGGTGAGAGTAATGGTGGTTGGGGATTTTAATGCTAAAGTGGGTAAAAATGTTATGGAGGGAGTAGTAGGTAAATTTGGGGTGCCAGGGGTAAATGTAAATGGGGAGCCTTTAATTGAGCTATGTGTAGAAAGAAATTTGGTAATAAGTAATACATATTTATGAAAAAGAGGATAAATAAATATACAAGGTATGATGTAGCACGTAATGAAAGTAGTTTGTTAGATTATGTATTGGTGGATAAAAGGTGATGGGTAGGCTCCAGGATGTACATGTTTATAGAGGGGCAACTGATATATCGGATCATTATTTAGTTGTAGCTACAGTTAGAGTAAGAGGTAGATGGGAAAAGAGGAAGGTGGCAACAACAAGTAAGAGGGAGGTGAAAGTGTATAAACTAAGGGAGGAGGAAGTTCGGGTGAGATATAAGCGACTATTGGCAGAAAGGTGGGCTAGTGCAAAGATGAGTAGTGGGGGGGTTGAAGAGGGTTGGAATAGTTTTAAAAATGCAGTATTAGAATGTTGGGGCTGAAGTTTGTGGTTATAGGAGGGTGGGGCAGGAGGAAAGAGGAGTGATTGGTGGAATGATGAAGTAAAGGGTGTGATAAAAGAGAAAAAGGTAGCTTATGAGAGGTTTTTACAAAGCAGAAGTGGTATAAGAAGAGCAGAGTATATGGAGAGTAAAAGAAAGGTAAAGAGAGTGGTGAGAGAGTGCAAAAGGAGAGCAGATGATAGAGGGGAGAGGCACTGTCAAGAAATTTTAATGAAAATAAGAAAAAATTTTGGAGTGAGTTAAACAAGTTAAGAAAGCCTAGGGAAAATATGGATTTGTCATTTAAAAACAGAGTAGGGAGTTAGTAGATGGGGAGATGGAGGTATTGGGTAGATGGCGAGAATATTTTGAGGAACTTTTAAATGTTAAGGAAGAAACAGAGGCAGTAATTTCATGCACTGGTCAGGGAGGTATACCATCTTTTAGAGTGAAGAAGAGCAGAATGTAAGTGTGGGGAGGTACGTGAGGCATTACGTAAAATGAAAGGGGTAAAGCAGCTGGAACTGATGGGATCATGACGAAAATGTTAAAAGCAGGGGGATATAGTGTTGGAGTGGTTGGTACTTTTTGTTTAATAAATGTAGAAAGAGGGGAAGGTACCTAGGGATTGGCAGAGAGCATGTATAGTCCCTTTATATAAAGGGAAAGGGGACAAAAGAGACTGTAAAAATTATAGAGGAATAAGCTTACTGAGTATACCAGGAAAAGTGTACGGTAGGGTTATAATTGAAAGAATTAGAGGTAAGACAGAATGTAGGATTGCGGATGAGCAAGGAGGTTTTAGAGTGGGTAGGGGATGTGTAGATCAGGTGTTTACATTGAAGCATATATGTGAACAGTATTTAGATAAAGATAGGGAAGTTTTTATTGCATTATGGATTTAGAAAAGGCATATGATAGAGTGGATAGAGGAGCAATGTGGCAGATGTTGCAAGTATATGGAATAGGTGGTAAGTTATTAAATGCTGTAAAGAGTTTTTATGAGGATAGTGAGGCTCAGGTTAGGGTGTGTAGAAGAGAGGGAGACTACTTCCCAGTAAAAGTAGGTCTTAGACAGGGATGTGTAATGTCACCATGGTTGTTTAATATATTTATAGATGGGGTTGTAAAGGAAGTAAATGCTAGGGTGTTTGGGAGAGGGGTGGGATTAAATTATGGGGAATCAAATTCAAAATGGGAATTGACACAGTTACTTTTTGCTGATGATACTGTGCTTATGGGAGATTCTAAAGAAAAATTGCAAAGGTTAGTGGATGAGTTTGGGAATGTGTGTAAAGGTAGAAAGTTGAAAGTGAACATAGAAAAGAGTAAGGTGATGAGGGTGTCAAATGATTTAGATAAAGAAAAATTGGATATCAAATTGGGGAGGAGGAGTATGGAAGAAGTGAATTTTTTCAGATACTTGGGAGTTGACGTGTCGGCGGATGGATTTATGAAGGATGAGGTTAATCATAGAATTGATGAGGGAAAAAAGGTGAGTGGTGCGTTGAGGTATATGTGGAGTCAAAAAACGTTATCTATGGAGGCAAAGAAGGGAATGTATGAAAGTATAGTAGTACCAACACTCTTATATGGGTGTGAAGCTTGGGTGGTAAATGCAGCAGCGAGGAGACGGTTGGAGGCAGCGGAGATGTCCTGTTTAAGGGCAATGTGTGGTGTAAATATTATGCAGAAAATTCGGAGTGTGGAAATTAGGAGAAGGTGTGGAGTTAATAAAAGTATTAGTCAGAGGGCAGAAGAGGGGTTGTTGAGGTGGTTTGGTCATTTAGAGAGAATGGATCACAGTAGAATGACATGGAAAGCATATAAATCTATAGGGGAAGGAAGGCGGGGTAGGGGTCGTCCTCGAAAGGGTTGGAGAGAGGGGGTAAAGGAGGTTTTGTGGGTAAGGGGCTTGGACTTCCAGCAAGCGTGCGTGAGCGTGTTAGATAGGAGTGAATGGAGACGAATGGTACTTGGGACCTGACGATCTGTTGGAGTGTGAGCAGGGTAATATTTAGTGAAGGGATTCAGGGAAACCGGTTATTTTCATATAGTCGGACTTGAGTCCTGGAAATGGGAAGTACAATGCCTGCACTTTAAAGGAGGGGTTTGGGATATTGGCAGTTTGGAGGGATATGTTGTGTATCTTTATATGTGTATGCTTCTAGACTGTTGTATTCTGAGCACCTCTGCAAAAACAGTGATAATGTGCGAGTGTGGTGAAAGTGTTGAATGATGATGAAAGTATTTTCTTTTTGGGGATTTTCTTTCTTTTTTGGGTCACCCTGCCTCGGTGGGAGACGGCCGACTTGTTGAAAAAAAAAAAAAAAAAAAATAAAAATACTTTATCACTTTGATTCTAGATGTTTTGGGCTTATACCATACCTTGAGTTTTCTCCTGCAAGTCAATAAATGAGTAAATAAAGAGAAAATAAATTATATACTGGATATTTTTTTTTTACCTGAACAGCTGCTGTTTCCCACCATATCAGGGTAAAAGAGACAAGAAAGCACATTCACCATCAACTCAAATCAAACTATGACCAGAGATCTAGTAAGCTAGGAGGAAGACCAATGGGGAAGGATGGAAATGGATGAAACAGGTTTGGGGGATGGGGGGGAGAATAAAAGGTAAGTGGCCAGACCATCTTTGATTTTGGCTTGATAATAGGAGTGTAATTTACATTTTGCATTATCATGAAATTTGTATAGGATGCATACAGCACAGCAAACCACTTATTAACAAGTGAAAACATGTCTATATGCATATTCATGATATACATGTAGGTATACATTTTTCATGGAGTAGAATTCCTTGTAATAGGTCACTGCTCAGGAGGCTTTTAGGTACAAGGTGGGTGTATTGGTAGCTTACTGCCTGGTAACTGCTAAGCAGTGTTTCTGCCTTCAACTGTGATGAGTTTTGTTTTTAATACACTGGCCATCTCCCACCAAAGCAGGGTGAACCGAAAAAGAACAAAAATTTTTCATCATTCCACATTTAGTAATTTATACAGAAGGGGTCACAAGTAGTGATGGATTTCTTTACTGTATTTTGTGTGAATCCTTCTTCCATTTAGACTCTCTGCCAAGGTGTGCCTCTGAATTTTTTGTTTATCTTCTCAATCAATTTAATGTTTACCATTTTTACCAACTGCAAAATTGGATAATAGTGTGTCTATAAGCAAGGCAATATAATGTTCAATAGAAAAGGACTCAGAGAAGAGCCCTGGGAAACTCCAGCTGCAGGTATGAATGTTTCTGCTATTTTTGTAGTTAAGGAAGGGTTGATGCTTCTGTTGATTAAGAAATTTTATATCTCTCAAGAATGTCCAACTGTTGTCAGGAAGGTCAGGTGACTTGACTATTAGATAATCAAGCCAGACTAACAAATGCTTTGTTTACTTATCTAGTTGCATTAAGTGCTAGATTGCCTTCCTTACATAGGCAGTTAGCAACATTATATATCATGTTGATGGCAAGCTGATGTGCCCTTTGGTTTTTGAACCCAAAATGCTTCTTGGTGAAAACATGGTAGCATTACATATAGTAGTTAATCCTGCTAGAGATTATTTTCTCAAAGAACCTCCCAGTGATCTTTTTCTTAGTTTGAACTTAAATGTCACATTTTTTTAAACTATTGAAAGTGAAGTAAAGAAAATTATTCCTTTCTTGGATACACATACCCAATGATACATTATGGCCGTTAAACTGAATGCTTATTAAAAGCCTAATACGCACTTTTAAAACACAAAATATTAAAGCAAATTATCTTCTCTTTCGAGAACTCTGAAGATACGTAGTCCTAACTACAGAATGGGTGAGGTCTGAACCCATGGCAAGTGAGGCATGAAACTCTAGGCCAGTGTGTAAGCCACTGGGCCAGCTGGCTACAACAAAATTGATCCAATTAGGTATATTTCCCAATGTGACCACAAATGCAAGTTTTTACAGATGAATCTCCTGTCAGCATGGCTGTGGCAAACTCTAGCTCAAGTCCCCTCAAAGATTGTAACAACATATTGGTAAGGCTTTTATCCTTAAGAAAGCTGAAATCAAACTCTGATGAAAAGGAGTTGCAAAACTATGACCAGAGCAATTCACAACTGGCTAAAAATTTTTAAACTAATACGTGACATCCTGAATCAAAATACTGTACAGTTTTGGGTTTCATGAAGGTCCACCTTTTCCTCATACAAAATACACACCTGATCCTGATCAGTCATGATCATTAATTTGCCATAGCGAAGAGTCTTCATATCATCCCAAGACTCGTATTTCTTCTTATACTGTAAACCCAAGATCTTGATAATATTATTGATTTCAGAATTTTCCAAAATCTGCTTGTGAGATGCTTCACGAACATTCAGCAATTTACCTTAAAAGATACATAAGAACAGATGTAACTACTTTTCAAAACAGTAAAAGATTTTTTGATTTATTAATACATTGGCAGTTTCCCACCAAGGCAGGGTGGCCCGATAAAGAAAAACTTGCACTTTTATAACTGTAGTGTAAGCATGCCAGAGACATGCTTACACTACAGTTATAAAACTGCAACATTAACATCCCTTCTTCAGAGTGCCAGCACTGTATTTCCCATCTCCAGGAATCAGTAAAAGATATACATATATACATTTTTTTTTTCAACAAGACGACCGACTTGTTGAAAAAAAAAAAAAAAAAAAAATTATATATATATATATATATATATATATATATATATATATATATATATATATATATATATATATATATATATATATATATATATATATATATATAATATATATATATAATATATATATATGGGGATTTTCTTTCTTTTTTGGGTCACCCTGCCTCGGTGGGAGACGGCCGACTTGTTGGAGAAAAAAAAAAAAAAATATATTATATATATATATATATATATATATATATATATATATATATATGTATATATATGTATATATATATATATATATATATATATATGTATATATATGTATATATATATATATATATATATGGGAAGTACAATGCCTGCACTTTAAAGGAGGGGTTTGGGATATTGGCAGTTTGGAGGGATATGTTGTGTATCTTTATGTGTGTATGCTTCTAGACTGTTGTATTCTGAGCACTTCTGCAAAAACAGTGATAATGTGCGAGTGTGGTGAAAGTGTTGAATGATGATGAAAGTATTTTCTTTTTGGGGATTTTCTTTCTTTTTTTGGGTCACCCTGCCTCGGTGGGAGACGGCCGACTTGTTGAAAAAAAAAAAAAAAAAAAAAAAAAAAAAAATTATATATATATATATATATATATATATAATATATATATATATATATATATATATATATATATAATATATATATATATATATAATATATATTATATATATATATATATATATATATATATAATATATATATATATATATATATATATATATATATATATATATATATATATATATATATTTTTTTTTTTTTTTTTTTTTTTTTTTTTTTTGCAAAAACTATCATATAATATGCAGTCTATGATATACAAAACTTTAAAAATGTAGGAGTACCTGCTTAACCCTTTCACTGTCACTTACGTATGTCTACATCTTAAATATGAGTGCCATCAGATATGCCATGATCAGTAAATTTTGGCCAAGACATAAATAGATCTGTACAGTGGGTGCAAACAGTATAAAAAAAAAAAATCCTGCCCCCACATGATACATGATTAGAACAACTAACCTCTGACCTGAGTTTGGTTTAAACAAGCAAATCTAAGGCATGTTTCAGGTTGCTTTTCATGGTTATATTGGCTGTTTCTTTGTATAAACTGACAGAATGGAAGACATACCACTGAAATGGAATGAATGTGGTCAGTCCCAAACTGGACATGGCTCAAAATAGGCCTAAAATTGGTGTAAACATTAAACTTTTAGTGATTTTCCCTAGGAAAGGTAGGAGCCCTGCTACTACTTCCACCCCCTTACAGCCTAAACCATAACCAATCATTCTAAGTTATATTTTATTAGACGAGACATAGGGTAAATCTTCAATATTTTGTGTGTAAAGTTATGACACCGGCTGCAGGACAAACTTTTAATCACTGAAACAAATAACACAGACAGTTGAAGTCTGGAATATCTAGAAATCCTGGGAATAACTCAGACACCAATTGCAAGTGGAACCATGCAGCTTCAGGAGTTTCCTTCTCTACCTTTGGGACAAACTCTGCACTATGCTCCATGAAGCTCAGATGATGGTGTAATAATATATAATAATGTTATTATACATACCTCTGGAACAGCCATGAAGCAGAGAACAAAGCACTGTCCTCTTGTAACATTATTATAAATTACATATGCCATCATCCGAGTTGAACATAATGCAGGGTCTAACCCCAAGGCAGATGAGCCCACTCATGAAGGTGCATGGCCTCACTTGTAATTGCTGTACGAAAATCTGGGTTTCAACCATCTATTGCCATAAGTTTCAGTATCAAAATCTGTCCTGCAGTCACAGTCATAACTTTTCACAATGACTGTACAGGAGAGGACTGGGAATGTGATTAGCTAACAAAGGAAAGGTTGCTTTAGTAGCTGGAATACCTACCATGTTTATTTTGGGTTATAAATTGGAATTTGTTTACTTGTTTACTGAATTTTGGGCACTTTACAGGAAAGTTCTGATAGTCGAATAGTCAGTTTGCTACATTCAATAGATAAACAAAAGGCATGCTAACAAAATAGCCAAGAATTTGGTCAGTTTGAGCATTGCAATTAGCCTAAAATAGGCCTCAATAGGAACAAAATCACCAATGAGTAAATTACTACCAGATCAGGTGTTTCGTGCCTGTATAATTCCATTAGTTTTATATCAACTAACACATTTTTGGTGTCATTACCTTAAGAAAAGGTAATTATGAAAAAATATAATTATTATAATTGTTTTTAAATCACGAAAGCAAAAGGGTTAATAATTTATAACATATACCTTTAAGAGGAAAAACACCATATCGATCTCGGCCAACTACTCCAAGGCCTGCTACAGCCAAAGTCTTGGCTGAGTCTCCCTCAGTTAAGATTAGGGTACAATCAGATGAAAACTTGGTTCCTGCATCGTTGGCATCTTCTAGTTTTGGAATACCTTAAAAGAAAACATAATTTCTTTAATAAATTTTTATACACTGAACTGCATGGCAAATTCAAAATCTGGTATATGAAAACCATCATTAGTTTTTTGTGGTGGTTTTTATCACCTGATTTTGCTGAGAAGAGCCAAAATAATAATATGAAGTTCAAAGTGGCAGTGGTTGAGCATTCAAATAGGTTACAAAAATGAGGTACTATAGTAGGGGCTATAACGGCTGAAAAAAAAAAAATTGACATACTGCTCCTGTAGCTACACTACATCATCTTAAAGAAAAATTACTTTCCATGGAAGGTTTCACTTAGAATTAACAGAATACTAGTATAAACAAATACAAATGGATGAAAAATGGTCTAAAACTATTGCTAGTGCTATACACATTATACAGACAGGTTGTAATCCCTCTTAATAGTTTATGAAACTCTCCACAGAATGGTTCTTAATTCTTTAAAACATATTGTAGCTACAGAAGCAGAGCTATGCTGATTGTTTCATCTTCACTATTTATCAAAGAGAATATTACTAATTTTCAGTAGTTACAACCCTTTCTACCTCCTTATTAAACATTCCAATGTAATACCACTGTATAGAACTGGCATACACCCCTACCCTTCATACATCATCCCTGCAGCTTTACACTAAGTTTAGTTTGCCTGAAATGTTTTACATAAATAGGACCTTTCCATATGTTTCCAAAGTTAGACATCTCCCAATTTTTTAATGCTATGTACATTGTGGGAATAAATTATTACTATTAACTATCATTATATTAATGGTATACAATAGTGACAAGTAGATGAGTAAGGCACATTCGACAGTTTAGTATATTTATTGTGAAAACATTTTACCTACTCAGTAAGTTTCTGTTGCATACACAAATGACTTAAATATCGGAGACATCAGAAGCAGCGATGGGATAAATATGAGGTGATCAGGACCACCTCAATCTTACTTCAAGATTGCGGGATTGATACCACCTATTTACATCTCCACTGCTTCTGTTGCCTCTAATGTTTAAGTCACTTCTGTATTCAATAGAAGCCCACCGAGTAGGCGAAAAGTTTCAACAATAAAGATACTCAACTGCTGCATGTGTCTTACTCATCAACAAAAGTTCTTAACTATACCATATTCAGAATATCCATCATATTACAGAGCTCTTTATTTCAATATTCCTTACAACTAATTATCTGTTGCACTAACGTTTTCCTCTTTTTAAATTAATAACTAATGAAGATTATTTAAATTTTAGGACTTCAACAACTTTCTGCAATGACAAAATTACTAATAACTCATCTCAATACTCAACACTAAGGGAGTGTTCACAAATGATTCTTTTATTAAATCATCCCATACCAAATTCCATAACATTTATATAAATCTTTACACACAGTTTTAAAACATTTTGTTAATGGTGAAAGAATTTTATGGCATAAATATTTATACATTCACATGAGAGAAGTTAGATATTCTATGCTAATACCATATTCAAAGCTAATTATTATACACTAACCTTTTAATTTAGTTTGCTTTTTGCTTGCACATTTTGACTGGAGTTGAGCCTGCTGCTTAAACTTTGCCCATGCCATCACAGATTCTACAATGCCACACTTTATAACACTGTTGGTAAATTTCTCAGAAAGTGTACACTTAGAGCCAAAACTTTTAGCTTGGAGCGTCATGTTTTCCTTGGTTTGAGAGTCAAATGTGGGGTTTACAATGAGACAATTTACAAATACCCACATATGATTCTTTATCTGAAAGAGTAAGTGCATATAGTATGGCAATCCTACTAAGAATATTACTTCTCATTACAAGCATATTTAACTTATACATTTAATTATACCCTAGGTAGTAGGTTGGTAGACAGCAACCGCCCAGGGAGGAACTACAGTCCTGCCAAGTGAGTGTAAAACGAAAACCTGTAATTGTTTTACATGATGGTAGGATTGCTGGTGTCTTTTTTTCTGTCACTTAAACATGCAAGATTTCAGGTACGTCTTGCTACTACTTCTTACACATAGGTCACACTACACATACATGTACAAGCATATACTATAAATATATATATATACACATCCCTCTGGGTTTTCTTCTATTTTCTTACTAGTTCTTGTTCTTGTTTATTTCCTGTTATCTCCATGGGGAAGTGGAACAGAATTCTTCCTCCGTAAGCCATGCGTGTTGTAAGAGGCGACTAAAATGCCGGGAGCAAAGGGCTAGTAACCCCTTCTCCTGTATATATTACTAAATGTAAAAGGAGAAACTTTCGTTTCTCCTTTTGGGCCACCCCGCCTCGGTGGGATATGGCCGGTGTGTTGAAAGAAAGATTTAATTATACAACACAGGCATACATTTTTTAATAAAATTCTAAACAGAATCAGTGGGTATTGGCCAATTTTGATGGTATCGCTAACATTATCAGTAGGGATCAGCTAATTTTGATGGTATCAGCCTATCAGTACATCTTATAAGGAACAAATTGGATGACTAGTGTGAATAGACAAGTAGGTCACCCAAAGATGTCCAGCAACTTTTGGAATCAGACCCACTGAAATAAATTTCAAAACTATTTGTGTTAATGGTTCCAAGAATTTAAGATACAGCAATTCTACCAAAGACTTTCTTTTAAGTGGTAATACATCAAGAGCATCAAATTGCAGACATATATAATATGTGTGGTGTGTAATATTCCAATGTTGGTACAAAGTACAGGTGATATTACCTATTTTCGAGACCCTTAATAGTTTTAACCTTTTAACTGCGTGCAATATATATGTATGCAGGGAACAAACTGTGCATGTCAAACAGCAACATAATTTTTGAGTATCCAAACATGTCAAGTGCCACTATATTGGGCCTATACTATATGGAACACCTACCATCTCATCAAAAATGTATGCCCAAGTGGGCCCTTGCAGTGCAAAGTGAGCAACAATGCCTTAGTGTGCTGTTTCACTGTTCCATAGATAAACCTCTCGAACAGCTGCTTATTAAGAAGACAGTGAAAGTGATAGTGAAAATGATTGGGCAGATATTGAGTTATAGTAGACCATGAACTCATGTCTCCCTGCCAACAGCACATGTGCCACACCCTGCTGCTGTGCCAACATTACATGCCACTAGCAGCTGCCACAACAGCACATGCCACTAGCAGCTGCCGTGACAACAGCACATGCCACTAGCAGCTGCCGCGACAACAGCACATGCCACTAGCAGCTGCCGTGACAACAGCACATGCCACTAGCAGCTGCCGTGACAACAGCACATGCCACTAGCAGCTGCCGTGACAACAGTACATGCCACTAGCAGCTGCCGTTACAACAGCACATGCCACTAGCAGCTGCCCTTACAACAGTACATGCCACTAGCAGCTGCCGTGACAACAGCACATGCCACTGGCAGCTGACGTGACAACAGCACATGCCACTAGCAGCTGCCATGAAAACAGCACATGCCACTGGCAGCTGAAGTGACAATAGCACATGCCACTAGCAGCTGCCATGACAACAGCACATGCCACTAGCAGCTGCCATGACAACAGCACATGCCACTAGCAGCTGCCATGACAACAGCACATGCCACTAGCAGCTGCCATGACAACAGTACATGACACTAGCAGCTGCAATGACAATACCAGGTGCTATACAAGTGCCAGCAAACAGTGTGTAGAACTGGTAAGAACATACCTTTGTTGCAAATTGAAATACAATCATAATCTGATATCAATAAACTGTAAAACATATCGTTACATGCAAATATGCCACCATTACCACTTAATACTATACACAAATAACCCGCACATAAAAGAGAGAAGCTTACGACGACGTTTCGGTCCGACTTGGACCATTACAAAGCCACACTAACCAGAGGTGGAGCAGGACGGCTATACAGTGGACCCCCGCATAACGATCACCTCCGAATGCGACCAATTATCTAAGTGTATTTATGTAAGTGCGTTTGTACGTGTATGTTTGGGGGTCTGAAATGGACTAATCTACTTCACAATATTCCTTATGGGAACAAATTCGGTCAGTACTGGCACCTAAACATACTTCTGGAGAGAAAAAATATCGTTAACCGGGGGTCCACTGTATATAGGCAGGAAGAGGTGGTGGTAAACCGAAACGTCATCGTAAGCTTCTCTCTTTTATGTGCAGGTTATTTGTGTATCGTTCCAGTCACGGTATTGTGCCTTTTTTTGTTATCCACTTAATACTAATTTTTCACCAAATTCAAAACATCACAAGTTTTCTTTTGATTTTTTCGTAGTGCTATTTGGAAAAACTTTCAACCAGTATTTTCATCAAAATTTCCCTACCCTGGGGGTAACCAACACTGCATGACTTCCCACAGCTAAAGAGTTAAGTAAACTGATTTTATATACAGCATTTTACTCTTTTATATCATGAACTATAAAACAATAAAAAAGTGGAGGAACACTCCAGTATGACTAATGGCCCATACTAGGCACATCCTCAAACTCAACTCTTCTCACTTAAATAATTGTGCAACTTAATTTTAAAGTATCAATGACTAGACCAGGCACTGTTTCAGTCATTTATCAATTTACTGGTGAACCATCATTTTTCCACTATCCCTTCTGTGTCTGACTTTATTCAACTTGAATACATTATTCCAATTTCTCTCTTGGTTCCTAGGACCATGTATTTATTTATTTTTCAACGCGTCAGCTGTTTCCCACTTAAATTGTTAAACATCACCCCTCATTCTACACCTATCAGGAGATGAAGACTCAGAGCTCTTACTTTATCTTCATATGTAAATTTTTTTATGAAATGGATTAATTGTGTCATCTTTTCAGAATGTTCTCAATGCATTTATATCCATTCTAGTCTGAGATCTAAATTAAGCTGCACATTCTAAGCAAGGCTTTACTATTGATGTGCACAGCTGCAGAATAACATTTGGACACCTGTTGCTTATACTTCTTGGTATAAATGCAAGTAGTCTGTTAACATTATTCATGAGGCACTACTATCTCAGTTACAGATTTTGACTTTCTATAACTCTTAAATCTTTTCCAAGTCTATATGACTAAATTCCACATCACCTAGTTTGTAAGTATAAGGTTTTTTTTTTTTAATTCCCAAGTATTAGGGCTTTGCACTTTTCCACATTTAACTACACATGCCACTTTTTATTACTTAAGTTTAATGGTGTTCTCAAAATCTATTATTCAGCTTATTTTTGTGTTGTCAGCAAATTTACTCAAACTGTTTCATATTCCCACATTAGATTCATTAATGTGGTTTGTGAACAAGAGGCCCAAATCTGATCCTTGTGTAATGCCATGTGTGACAAGTCCCCATTCAGATTACACTCTATGTAAACTCTGCTTTTTATCAGTCAGTTATGCCTCAATGTCTGATAAATTTTTTTCAATGCCATGAGTTGGCACTTTCTTTCAGTCTTCTATGTTGGACGATCAAAATTTAGGGTCCACTGCTTCAAACTCTTTACTTAAGGTTAGTAAATCAGTGTTGAGATTCATTACATAAACGATCAAGGTAGCTCCTAATTAACTGTACAAAAGTTATAATTCTTAATTGTGATAAACTATCTTATGATCAATACTACCACCATACTTCTACCACACATGGTAATTCATTCAAGAGTTCAATATAAATGCACTAAGTTAACAGCATACTTTGCTTTACACATACTCTAAATACTATATGGACAGTCTAGTGAACTCACTTGAAATGGTTTTATCTGAACACCACTCTTGTTTTTCTTTTTTAATGCTTCAGTAAGATTCTTCACAATCATGTCAGTCACGTGCTCTACATGTCGGCCACCCTGAAATCAACAATTAATAAGTTTTAAGATAGAAAAATTTGAAAGCTTTAACCAAAGAGTTTCCTAATTACTAAAGATAATTATTAAAGTAAAGGCCCTATAAAAAGGCAAGGAAATTCATGGAAAATGCTGAGTATTCTAAACCTAATCTGGGTCATGCCCAATCATCATAATTAAGACATTCTGGTTAAGATATAGACAGGAAACAATTGGTACTGAAAAATAATTATCTAAGCTAGCTTACAACAAATTGCGAAACGTATAAAATGAAAATATATTTATATAACAATCTAGAGACAGACCAGACAACATACCTTAGTTGTAGCAATACTGTTTACAAAAGACATCTGCTGGAAACCTTTATCAGAGAGTGCGACAGCCACTTCCCACCTTTCATTTACATTTTCATAAACAGCTTTAATTGGATTGTCAGCATCATCCACCTTATCTTTAATGAAGAAATCCACGTAGTCCTTGAAACCCTTCAGCTGAGGGAAGAACTTCTTTTCAGCTTCAGCAGGTAAAAATAAAAAAATGTAACTCAAAACTGTCAATTATATTCAAAAACAAAAATATCACAAGAACACTTACTGGAATACGCTTTCCATTCAAAAAGACTTTAACTCCCCTGGTTGAAGCAGCAATGTCATATGCTCTTCGAGACATGAGGGAAACTATGTCAGCATTTAAAGATTCCATTTTAAACTTTGCAAGGTCTGGTGAAAATGTAATTCTTGTGAAATCTTCTCCTGTATAATCCTTAATTTTCGGTTCACTAGCCTTGCTCATATTGTTGCCCCAAACCTGCCAAAAAATAAAGAAAATTTAATATTTTATGTTTCATTAACCCTCTAACTGCCCAAACGTAGATCTACGTTCGCTTGCGAAGTGCTCTGAACGTAGATCTACATTTTGTTTTTACATTATTTCTTAGGGAGAAAATCAAGGTCGGAACGCTACGCGAGCAAACATTGATCTACATTACATTTGGACAGTTTAAGAGTTAATAGAGTAAATGTAATTTATTAAGACAATGCCATTACAAGCCCATGAAACTAATATTTTTATGTAGCACAGAGCCTATTAGTTATACAAACCTGTTTGAAAGTTTTTTTGTATTCGTGTGAAGACGTTTCAACAACAAATTTATTACTGAAGATATTACACAGCTTAGCACCATAACCATTGCGCCCACCAGTAACCTTTTGTTCTTCATCATTGTAGTTGGATGACGTCAGTAGGTGGCCAAAGATCATAGTTGGGACATACATCTTCTCATCTTTATGCATTGCTACTGGAATGCCCCTTCCATTGTTGAATATACACACTTGGTTGTTTTCTCTTTGGGAAAAATAATAAAATTAGTTTTAAATATTGAAAAACCATAAGTGATATTTCTTTACTATCAATAATGTGATATACAATACCACTAAAACAATATCAAGATTAACATTGGCTGCCTAAGATTTTACAATAAAGAAGGAAGGCATTTTAATCCACTTTAATAGTTTCCATCTGCAAGGAGAGTGAAACCTAACATTTGTACAATGACCTTATTTATAAAATGCTTAACAGTGATGCAGACACAAAGAACAATTATAGATAATTAATAAGGAATTCTAAAATTATTAAATCCAATGAAAGAAAGTGCAATAACTAAACTTACGGATCAATATCTACTTTAATGACATCCATAGATTTGTCTCGCTGCTTATTATCTGCAGCATTTACCAAAATTTCATCAAAGATCTTGTAGAGACCTGGCACATATGATATTTCCTTCTGCACAATCTTTTCCAGTTCCATGTCATATACCCACATCTGCTCAGTTGTAAATTCCACCGAGCCTAAAGTATAAGATATACGTATTAATTGCAGCACGCGCTAAAACTTCCTTCTAAATTAAGCAATTATCATTTTCAACCATTTTAAGTTTCTGTATGATGCTTTATACTCATTTAATTAAGCAGTGATCATAAAGCACTGTAGCATTCAAAAAATAAAGAACAGAATCCACACCTTCTTAACCCTTAAACTGTCCAAACGTAGATCTACGTTTTTTTCAACATTTGAAAGTATGTAAAAAAAGTAGATCTTTGTTTTTTTTACATTTGAAAACGTGTAAAAAACTTTGATCTACTTTTTTTTTCGTTATATTTGAAAATATGTAAAAAAACGTAATCTACACTTGGAGCACTACGCATGTGAACATAGATCTGCTTGGACAGTTTAACCCTTAAATGATCCAAACGTATATATACGTTTTTTCAACATTTGAATGTAAAAAAAAATGTAGATTTTTTTTTTTTTAACATTTGAGCACCACGGATTTGAACGTCGATCTGTTTGGACCGTTTAAGGGTTAAGGGTTAAGCACACGAAATCAGTTTGAAAAAAAAAATAAAAAAGTTTTACGAGTAAGCTCAACAGCCCATGATCAGAAAACTAAGTCAACTAATCACTCTCAACCCATTTTGCCCACAAACCAGTGAAAACTACATCATGGACTAAATTAAGTTTGATGAATTTATGACAAATACAGCCTCTCCTCAATTAATGACAGAGTTCCGTTCCTGAGACCATGTCGTTACATGAATTCATTGCTAAGTGAGAATGATGCTATAATGGTAGTGAGTTTGTGTCAACCATCTTTGATATTGTTTTAACGTCACCTTTGCACCATTTATAAAATTTCTGGTAAATTTTTAAATGCTTATACAGTAGTGTACTCTATAGTGAAATAAACAGAATATAAGAAATCAGCTCTAATATACGTACATACATTATTTAGGTATGAATACTGGTCAGAGAGCCCGTCGTAAGTCCGAGGCGTCAGTAAACAAGTACGTCGCTAAGTGACGAGAGGCTGTATTTTCAATACAGATTAACTTTGCATGAAAGGTCTGATGCAAAACATTTAAATAAGTTATAATTTCCTTCAAAACTACTGTACTACTGCTGCATTTTACCAAGCTCTGTGTAATAAATACACAGAACATTTAGTACTTTCATTCATTTATAAATCATCCTGAAATTATAATGAAATTACCACTAAACTTTGCTCTTATGCAAACAACCAAATATTGTAAAGCATTTATATTATCAAAATATGATATAAATTCATTAACATACCAATATAAGTATCAGGACGGAGTAAAATGTGCTCAAGCTGTGTTTTCTTCTGGTATACTGTTTCCACTGACTTTCCAGTCTTCTTTTTTGGACCAGGTACTTTACCATCATCCCCCAAGGGGTTTGGTATATTGTTCGGTACATCCTGAAAAAAATTATTACAAGCAGTACATATACAAAAGTTCACGCTACCAAAGCAAAGTTTGTGTAACTAACAAGGATTCAGAGAAATATGGGAAATACGTATATGAGGGAATAACCGAAAAAGCTTAAGTATACAATACATAGCATTTTTCAAGGAAGGAACCGCTACAACTAGCAGTATATAAGAGACTTATGCAATATGAGGTAGCTTTAGCAGAAAAATTTTTGCTCATCAGAGAAAAGTTTCCATAATACAGTTAGTACCTCACATTACATCAATATCTCTTTTATACATTTGTAAGTATAATATATTTTGTATCAACACTATTGATGCTATGAAAAATAGTAACAACACTGCTTTAGAACCAAAGGAACTAAGTTACAGACTTTCAGTATTGGACAAAACTCATATGAAACAGCAGCCATGGCAAAAAGCTAATCCATTCTCCTAGTGAACTTGCAAGCAGTTAATAGACACTTGAGATGCTAACAAACTGACAACTTTAAATGTTCAAGGATGTATCTTTGAATGAGCATACATGTGTGCATCCCTCTAGATCGGGGATTCTCAACGTTTCCTCCATCATTAACCCCCTCGGCTTGATGTATTTCTCCATTTACCCCGTTACTTCCATACAAAAATATTTATCCATCATAAGGGGGCAGAAAAAAATAAATTATTCAGGTTTTGCACAAAAATAGCACACAAATATTTACCCCTTGCCATGAAATTGTTCACCCCCAAGGGGTAAATTTACCCCTGGTTGAGAATCACTGCTATAGATTAACCCCTTAAATTAAAATATGGCTATAAACCTACAATCTACTAAACAAAAACTGTACCTGCAATAATAAAGGATAATATACTATAAATACTAAAGTTAAGTGCCAAACATAACATTCTGAATTGCAGTTTTCCCTACAGCTGAAACAATCTAATCTACCACAGTGACATATTGTTACAATGGAATGGAGAATTTGTAATGAACTGATATATTTTCAAGATTTCCAGAAAAACGAATATAATAATGCAAGCCACAAGCACTGCAGTTATTACTCATTTTTCATCTGATTCTATCCTATTTTTATTACACTTGAAGAATGCTTCTCAATGAGAATCAGACATCTTAAATTTTATGATAAGTAAATGCTATCTGCATAAGTAATGCAATTCCGTTGGCACAAGCTGCACAGGAGCCAACCTATGTTGGGTAATGAATAAGATTAACTTAGGTAAATAAATTCATTTAAGTACAGGTACACATAAATGCAGTTAGACAAATTATCATATGTAGTAATGTGTAAATTACCTAGATAACCCACCTCCCTCCAAAAAAAAAAGTAAGAAAGTGACTTATTTCCATTGGACTCCTAGGTTATTTTAAGTTGGGTTTGGAAAGTTCCGTTAGGTTTAGTTACACTTACCATTTGCACAAAATACTATATTGTAAAACCCGCTAATTTTAATTATATTTTATTACCGAAATCGTCCAAGGAGCAACATTTAATTATCACAATGACTTTATCTGATTCCCTCCCAGTCCCCATGCACTATAAAACCCCTACTAATTTAACACTTCCCAAGAAAATAGTAATCCTTAACTTTAGCCATGAACTGGCTGATGTTACTAGTGTATTGCTGAATTACAAACATCACTTTATAACAAACCTTGAGTGGCTGTTTGCTCAACATGTTTGTTTCCTAAATGCTATGCACTTAACATAAATCTAAAACTGTGGCAGTGAGGAGGCTGAACCAGGTGAGGTTGAACCAGGTGAGGAGGCTGAACCAGGTGAGGCTGAACCAGGTGAGGAGGCTGAACCAGGTGGAGGCTGAACCAGGTGAGGAGGCTGAACCAGGTGAGGAGGCTGAACCAGGTGAGAAGGCTGAACCAGGTGAGCAGGCTGAACCAGGTGAGGCTGAACCAGGTGAGGTTGAACCAGGTGAGGAGGCTGAACCAGGTGAGGTTGAACCAGGTGAGGAGGCTGAACCAGGTGAGGTTGAACCAGGTGAGGAGACTGAACCAGGTGGAGGCTGAACCAGGTGAGGAGGCTGAACCAGGTGAGGCTGAACCAGGTGAGGAGGCTGAACCAGGTGAGGTTGAACCAGGTGAGGAGGCTGAACCAGGTGAGGCTGAACCAGGTGAGGAGGCTGAACCAGGTGGAGGCTGAACCAGGTGAGGAGGCTGAACCAGGTGAGGAGGCTGAACCAGGTGAGGAGGCTGAACCAGGTGAGGAGGCTGAACCAGGTGAGGAGGCTGAACCAGGTGAGGCTGAACCAGGTGGAGGCTGAACCAGGTGAGGCTGAACCAGGTGGAGGCTGAACCAGGTGGAGGCTGAACCAGGTGGAGGCTGAACCAGGTGAGGCTGAACCAGGTGGAGGCTGAACCAGGTGAGGCTGAACCAGGTGGAGGCTGAACCAGGTGAGGTAGAGTCGGGTGAGGAGCCAGGTGAGGGGCCTGGTAGAACCAGGTGAGGTTGAGGTAGAAAGTGAGCTATACTATCTTAACCAGGTAATAATGCTGAACCAAACGAGGTTGAAACAGACGAGAGTAAACCAGGTGAAGTTGAGACAGGTAAAGGTTGACTATCTTATCTTAACCAGGTGAGGGTGGGCCATGTGAGAGGTGAGGGAGGTAGGCAAACCAAGTGAGAGATGAGGAGGAGGAGGATGATCCTAACCAGGTTCCAGTGTGAACCTTCACTGTTTGAACTTTGAAATAAGTTACCGCCGCCACCACCCGCTAGTGCGCGACGTTGCCGTAACCTCACCAACCCACCACCAACATCCACAGAATTACACACCACGGCTCTTCCCCGCCACGAACCCCTACCCGAAAAGACTATCTCTACCCTTAACCACTGCCGTGGTAGTGGCAAGATAAACCAACAATCAAGAGCAAGTAGAGATGAAATAAGAGAGAGACAACAGTGCACCGCCAGAGTTGACACTCGCACCGGCATCGTAATATTTATTACACCAGCCACTGTCCCTAACCTACCTCACTTTTACCATATTATACACTCCCATTACTCTTTTATTATTATTTTTAAATGTTACAGGTTGTTTATGATTCATAGAACCTCGTGTGTGATGGTATTTGATTATCTTGTTATATCAACGTTATAATAATGTAACATCGGACCTGTACAAAATTCAGGAAAACAATTATACGTTGTTTTTTTAAATTTTAGTAATTACTATTTGGTCATGTTATCTGTGATAGTGTGTACGATAAATAAAGTATTAGTTTGATTAACTGACAGTAATATTCCAGTGTGAAATACTTGAAGATATTGAAAGTTATCAAAACATAAAGAGGCGAGACCTTGACAGCTTACCGTTCCATTTACTGCAGGCATTGTGAAGATATATTTGTCAGGTAATATACCACAAGTAACTTTCTGAGTCTTCAGTATCCGGCAGACTCTAATAAGTCCTGTTCTTCGCAACAGGATGTTCAACTAAAAATTCTCTCACTCTCCATTTACATTTTACATACACTGTTTTAATTCTAAAATATATTTGTCTCATTGGAACTTTACACTTGTTGAAGGTCGTCCAGGAGCTAGAGAGAGCCCCGAGTGCACTTGTGTAGAAAAGTATGTATGACTGACGGTTGGGAGGATTTTGGAGGGAGAATATGATGGAACAAAGGGTAGCAGCTTCACCTTGGCAAGTGTTGACTCGCGCTGCTGTGCTCCTCCATTACACCAGTAACACCAATGTTTCACTACCCTCCTCTCCACCCTCGCTTACATCACTCATCTAACACATCCACCAACTCTCTTCCATAATAAACCACAAACTTCCCAAGGTATATTAACCAGCTGGTGTATTTAAGAGAGAAATGAGTGTGTGTGAGGCTGCTAACAAGTGGACGCTACCACACAAGATGATGCTGACCTACGCACTCCTCTTGCCCAACTTATATTTTTCCTCCATATATTAACACTAATGTCTTGTTTATTTACAGACATGATGGTGTATATATGCCTGTAAATTAAAATGAGATATTTACCCACAAATGTCTGGAAATGTTATAGTAACTTGTGGTAAATGTGACATGATGTCAGGGATATTGACTCGATAAACAATTAATGGCATCGTGATTTGTAGCCAACAGCGCGCTTTTTAATTCTCCATAATAATTGATTCAGTTTTATTCAGATTCACATTTTTACAAATATTAATGCGTATATTTATATATGTGTGTATGTCTATATTTATATATGTATATGTATGCGTGTTTATATTTATATATGTTTGTGTATATTTATATACATATGTAAGTGTACTCACCTAGTTGAGGTTGCGGGGGTCGAGTCCGAGCTCCTGTGTATATGTCGTGACGAATGAGTAAAACTTGCGATTTTTGGCTTAGATAGTAACGCTCTTCTTGCCGAATAAGGCAAGCGAAAATTTGTGTGTGCAATAATTTCGCAAAAGTCATTCTAAAACTAATGAAAAAAATATTTTTCATTGTGTTTGTTTATTATTAAATTATTGTAAACTTATCTAAAATATATTTAGTTGGATTATGCTAAAATAAATTGCGCTTGTTATAATAAGGTTAGGTAAGTTTTCTAAGATTCTTTTGGTACAAAATTATTAATTTTTACATTAACATAAATGAAAAAAATCTATAAACGTTAAAGAGAAACTTTTAGAAAGGACTTAATTTTAAATGAGTTCTTACCGATTGACCAGTTTTACCTATTCGGCACAACATATATATATATATATATATATATATATATATATATATATATATATATATATATATATATATATATATATATATATATATATATATATATATATATATGTGTGTGTGTGTGTGTGTGTGTGTGTGTGTGTGTGTCTCAACAACGCTTCAGAGTGTGTCAGGGAAGGAGAGAGCCCGTCTCCTGGCAGTGAGAGCTCCTCATGCGGGGGACTTTCTGTTGGCTGTTCCCAACTCCAGCCTTGGCACACGGCTCGACCCCACAGACCATCCGCATTGGTGTTGCCCTTCGACTTGCCGCCCCTATTCTCGCCGAACACAGGTGTATTTGTGGCAGTGAAGCAGCAGACCGATTTGGGTACCATGGTCTCGCGTGCCGTAAATCCGAGGGAAAGATTGCAAGACATGAGGAGGTTAATAACATCAAGAGGAGTCTCACAACAGCCGGATGCCCAGCAGTAAGGGAGCCACCCCAACTATGCATATCTGATGGCAGCCAGAAGCGTCCAGATGGTGTCATACTTCAAGTCTGGACAGACGGTAAGCAGGTTGTGTGGGACTACACATGTGCATCTACCTTGGCTGATACCTATCTCCAATACAACAGGGAGGAAGAAGGGGCAGCCGCCAGCTTCAGGGAGTCCCAAAAGTCTAGAAAATATGGAGAACTTGCCCATCATTATATGTTTGTTCCCATAGGCTTAGAGACCCTTGCCTCATGGGGAAAGAGTGCATCTAAGTTCCTTAAGGAGCTAGGCAAAACACTCATCCCAGGGCAGCTACTTGTCTGTTCCAGCGACTCAGCGCTGTTGTTCAGAGGGGTAATGCCTGCTGTATTTTGGGCACGCGCCCCAGCTCTGAAGACCTGGATGAGATTTTTGCATTATAATCAGTGACAAACATGTAACAATATGTACTAGACATGTATCTCTCACATCTCATGTACTGTATGTCATCTTTATATCAACAATGTATCTCTTAAACCTTTTGTACCATATTATGTAATGAAATATATATATATATATATATATATATATATATATATATATATATATATATATATATATATATATATATATATATATATATATATAATATATATATATATGTATATATATATATATATATATATATATATATATTGACCCCCGAAACTCTCTCCAGGTAAACTCCAGGTATATATATATATATATATATATATATATATATATATATATATATATATATATATATTATATATATATATATATATATATATATATATACCTGGAGTTTACCTGGAGAGAGTTCCGGGGGTCAACGCCCCCGCGGCCCGGTCTGAGACCAGGCCTCCTGGTGGATCAGAGCCTGATCAACCAGGCTGTTGCTGCTGGCTGCACGCAAACCAACATACGAGCCACAGCCCGGCTGATCCGGAACTGACTTTAGGTGCTTGTCCAGTGCCAGCTTGAAGACTGCCAGGGGTCTGTTGGTAATCCCCCTTATGTGTGCTGGGAGGCAGTTGAACAGTCTCGGGCCCCTGACACTTATTGTATGGTCTCTTAACGTGCTAGTGACACCCCTGCTTTTCATTGGGGGGATGGTGCATCGTCTGCCAAGTCTTTTGCTTTCGTAGTGGGTGATTTTCGTGTGCAAGTTCGGTACTAGTCCCTCTAGGATTTTCCAGGTGTATATAATCATGTATCTCTCCCTCCTGCGTTCCAGGGAATACAGGTTTAGGAACCTCAAGCGCTCCCAATAATTGAGGTGTTTTATCTCCGTTATGCGCGCCGTGAAAGTTCTCTGTACATTTTCTAGGTCGGCAATTTCACCTGCCTTGAAAGGTGCTGTTAGTGTGCAGCAATATTCCAGCCTAGATAGAACAAGTGACCTGAAGAGTGTCATCATGGGCTTGGCCTCCCTAGTTTTGAAGGTTCTCATTATCCATCCTGTCATTTTTCTAGCAGATGCGATTGATACAATGTTATGGTCCTTGAAGGTGAGATCCTCCGACATGATCACTCCCAGGTCTTTGACGTTGGTGTTTCGCTCTATTTTGTGGCCAGAATTTGTTTTGTACTCTGATGAAGATTTAATTTCCTCATGTTTACCATATCTGAGTAATTGAAATTTCTCATCGTTGAACTTCATATTGTTTTCTGCAGCCCACTGAAAGATTTGGTTGATGTCTGCATCATATATATATATATATATATATATATATATATATATATATATATATATATATATATATATATATATATATATATATATATATATATATATATATATATATATATATCAACACCGGCCGTCTCCCACCCTAGGCTAGGGTGGCCAGAAAAAGAAGAAACACTTCATTTTACATTTATTAATTTATGTAGCTCCTTGCTCTCGGCATTTTAGTCGCCTCTTAATACTTGTAGTTATTTTACACACTGGTATGATTGATGGTGCCTTCTTTCTGTCTCATAAACACGCAAGATAACAGGTACATCTTGCTGCTTCTACTGACGTGCATGCGTATGTATACATACGCATCTGAGTTTTCTTCTACTCTCGTAATAGTTCTTGTTCTTATTTATTTCCTTTCACCTTCATAAGGAAGTAGGAAAGAATCCTTCCTCCGTCAACCATGCGTGTCCTAAGAAGAGACTAAAATGCCAGGTGATGGGCTCTTGATTTAGGTAATTGGATCTGTGCTCCGGTTTCCTGAATTAAACCTGAATACCTTCCATCCCCTTCCACATGCGCTGTATAATCCTACGGGTTTAGCGCTCCCCTTGGTTATAATCTTCTATAAATTACTAAATGTAGAAAGAGAAAAACTTTCTTTTGTTCTTTTTCGGGTCACCTGACCCGATGGGAAGCGGCCGATGTGTTAAATATATACAAAGGAAAGCGAAGAGGCATTGCCAGGAGCTGTGAATCGACCCCTGCAACCACAAATAGTTAAATACAGATAACTGAGTACACATCACAAATAGTCCTCACTTAGGAGTGGAAAATGAAGGTGTTGTTTTCCAGGCCCCGTGTCCTGGTGGCTAAAGCTCTCACTTCACACTGCGAGGGTCCAAGTTCGATTCCTAGCAAGGGTAAAAACATTGGGCGTGTTTCCTTACACCGGTTGTCTGTTGAAGATTGAGACACTTATGCAGCATATGGGAATCTTTATTCAGGAAACGTTTCGCCACGCAGTGGCTTCATCAGTCCAATACAAAGAGGAAGGCGTAAGGAGAGGAGGAGAATGAGGTAATCAGTCCCTCAACCTGGAGTCGATGTGTTCAGTCCATCAATCTTGTAGAATGTACATTCTACAAGATTGATGGACTGAACACATCGACTCCAGGTTGAGGGACTGATTACCTCATTCTCCTCCTCTCCTTACGCCTTCCTCTTTGTATTGGACTGATGAAGCCACTGCGTGGCGAAACGTTTCCTGAATAAAGATTCCCATATGCTGCATAAGTGTCTCAATCTTCAACATGTCGGTTTTTCAAACCATTCATCACACCGGTTGTCTGTGTTCCCCATCAGTTAAGTGGGTACCTGGGTGTTAGTCGACTGGTGTGGGTCGCATCCTGGGACAAAACTGACCTAATTTGCCCGAAATGCTCAGTATAACAAACAGTTTTCTATATAGTAGTATGTCAGCTATGGTCTGTATACTTTGTACATGTAATTGTAGAAATAAAGATATTATTAGTAACAGTCAATGAGGGAGAATTTGTAACCTGGGCTGTCAGACAAAATACGGCGTAGTTCTGTAATGTTCTACCAGAGTATACTTCAGAGGCAAGCAGTGTCGCCCTACTAAATATAATGTCATACATACTTTCTAGTCTTCACTCGAAATCCCCACTGTAATATATATATATATATATATATATATATATATATATATATATATATATGCAATAAGATCACAGTAAACAGGTGATTTCAAAATATGCAAAACAACCACTCTGAAAGAATAGAGAAATTCCAAGCGCTTTCGTGACTACTCACATTATCAAGGAACTATGAAAGTGAAGCATCCAAGGAAGCTATATAAGGGGTCGGCCAGCACCTCACTATCAGATCCCACAACGGTTAAACACGTGACGCGCGGCGAGCCAACTTGGACAGGTCCTTTGCAAAACTCACCCCCAAGCTATTTATTTGTCCAGTGTATTATTAAATTCTACCCAAATTCTATTAATTA